AAAATTTATTTTCTAGTTGGGAGAGATGGGTAATAAATATGTACTATGGTAGCAATAAGTTTGCTGAAGAAAATTATGGAAAGCTAACAGAGATTGAGTATAGACTGTGGAGAATTATTTCATTCACAGTATACAATTGTTTTCTAGAGATCAGAGAGCCCTTCCTATTTCTGTGTATTCACAATACCATATTGTTAATTCCATGTTAAGACTTAATATGGTGTTTCGAAATTGTCTGCCTCTGGAGACTCCAACATTAATTGAGGGCAGAAGGTTAATTTTGTTCATCTTTGTATTCCGAGAGCCTCACATATACATAGTAGGCTGTATTCGTTCTCTAAAAAACACAGAACCAATAGGATATGTGGAGATTATGAGAAATTGGCTCTGCAAGATGGAGGTGAAGTCCCATAGTCTGCCTTCTGCAGACTGAAGGCCCAGGAAAGCCAGTGTAGTTCCAAACCCAAAGGCTTGAGAATCAGGGGAGGCAATAATGTAAGTCCTAGTCTGAAGGCCTGAGGACCAGGAGCACCAACGTCTGGGGGCACGAAATGGATGTCCCAGCAGTTCACCCTTCCTCCCCCTTTTTGTTCTATTTAGGTCCTCAATGGATTAGATGACGCCCACCCACATGGGTGAAGGCAGTCTTCTTTACTCAAGTCTACTGATTCAAGTGCTAGTCTCTTCCAGAAACACCATCACAGACGCACCTAGAAATGTTTGACCAGCTATCAAGGCATCCCTAGCCCAGTCAAGTTGACAGAATTAGCCATCTCATCAGTATCCATAATGTATTTTTATATTAATGGATTTAGCCATTTATGATTTGAGAAGCTTCTGTGTACAGTATCTTTTTTTTTTGGCAACGGAGTTTCACTCTTGTTTCCCAGGCTGGAGTGCAATGGCTTGATCTCAGCTCATCACCTCTGCCTTCCGGGTTCAAGCAATTCTGCCTCAGCCTCCCAAGTAGCTGGGATTACAGGCATGCACCACCATGCCTGGCTAATTTTGTGTTTAGTAGAGAGGGGGTTTCTCCATGTCAGTCAGGCTGGTCTTGAACTCCTGACCTCAGGTGATCTTCCCGCCTCGCCCTCCCAAAGTGCTGGGATTACAGGCATGAGCCACCGCACCCAACCTCATGTACAGTATCTTATGGTATCTTGTCCACTCAGAGGCAAGCAGAAGAAATATTTAGCTCCATTTTATAACTTGATTTCCATTCCACTATTTTCACTGTACTGCAATGTGAGATTAACAATTCCACCCCAAGTATTTTGAGGTGTGGGAAGCTGGATGTAAAAACACCATTAAAAACAACTCTTTTCAACGGCTTCCTAAGGTTGGCTGGGCTGAAATGGCAGTTTGTGGATGCTCCGTGGCACATTACACTGCCCCTTTCTTCATATTTTTAGAAGTTAAATCAGCTGATGGCAATATTGAATTCCAGGTAATTTTCTTTCTTTTCTTTTTTTTTTTTTGAAACAGAGTTTTGCTCTTGTTGCCCAGGCTGAAGTGCAATGGCACAATCTCTGCTCACCACAACCTCTGCCTCCCAGGTTCAAATGATTCTCCTGCCTCAGCCTCCTGAGTAGCTGGGATTACACGAATGCGCCACCATGCCCGGCTAGTTTTTGTTATTTTTTAGTAGAGATGGGTTTCCCCATGTTGGTCAGGCTGGTCTCGACCTCCTGATCTCTCAGGTGATCCGCCTGCCTCGGCCTCTCAAAGTGCTGGGATTACAGGCATGAGCTACCATGCCCAGAGAATTCCAATTTTTATGGTTAATGAATTCCACTCATACTGTTCTTCAGTCTGCCCAACAGATATTACATAACACATTTGTGTGCCATGATGGGCCTTACATATATTGACTCATGTAATTCTCACAACTTTATGAGGTGGTATTAGTCCGATTTTCACACTTCATGAAATTGAGGCACAAAAGTATGTCAGGCCTCTGCTCAAACTGAGTAGTTTTCCTGTCACACTTCAGTGTGGCCTATAGGCCCTAAGTGATCTAGCCTTTTCTTATATTGTCTTCCACTCTCATCCTTGTTCACAGAGCTCCAGCAATTCTCATGTTTGGAGGTCCGCAAGGCAAAACTCAACTTTATTTCCCGTTCCCTTAGTATGGAAAGCTATTTCCCTATCTCTGTGTGTCCTGCTTTTACATCATTGCTCTGCTTTCCTCAAAAACTTTCCCCTCTTATCCCCATCACTGTCCTCATTTTGATTCTTCATATGCATTTATCCTTTCCTGATTTTATACTGTTTATCTTTTTATGGTTTGTTTTCCCCTCTAAAACATAAATTCCATGTGGATGAGGGCTTTGTTCAGTCCTACTTTCCTAGGCCCTAGAATCAAACCAGTATTGGGTGAGTGGATACTGAATGAAGCTTTACCTGTATTTTGTCTTTTAGTTAGTTTCAGTGGTTAAATCTCAGAAAGCTTAACAGCAATTCTAAGCATGTCTTTATGATAAAAGGTTAAAAACTGTATTATTGGGATAATTTTTCTCTTTTTATTTATGTTTACCTACAAGTCCGTGGAAAGTATACTCAAAAGATAGCAGACCAGGTAGGCTTAAGTTACTTTTACAAAACAGTAGAAATACCTTCAACTATTTAACACTGATGAACTTACAACTGAGGACATGTCGACTCTACTAAGAAACTAATGATGAAATTCATAATTGGGCATGGTGGCACATGCACCCAGCTACTCGAGGCTGCAGCTTGAGTCCAGGAGTTCAAGGCTGCAGGGAGCTATAATCATGCCACTGTACTCCAGCCTGGGAGACAGTGAGAACTTGGCTCTTAAAAAAAAAAAAAAAAAGGGAAAAAAATTGATAATGACAATTTATAATGGTCAGTCCTATCTACCAGTCTAAATGAATGTTTAAAAATTTTCATATACTGCACAGAAGTAGATGCAGTCTTAATGCTAGGTAAGGGTAAACAAGCTGAAATAGCAGCCAGTGACTTCAGAGACCATGAAACCAAAGTTAATCTTCTAAGTCCTTTTAATTGTTCTTATAAACTAGCATAAGATACAAACTTAAGTAGTACACATGAGTTTTATAATTTACTAATCTCTGGCAGATAGCTAAGCATAGCACATCAGAGTGTAACACAGTGTGAGGGAAGTAAAGTATACAATGACATCTTCTATTCTGGACCTACAATTCAATAGAGAAAGAACTACTTGTAGTCACTGTGGTTACAGAAGGCTTCATGGAGACATTGAAGATAAAGCTCTACTTAGTAACAAATAGGTCTTAAATGATAAAAATGTGGGCCTTCGAAGAACTAAAGATACCTATGTGTGGCAGTCCAGAAATTACGAGGAAAATGACTTCCCTTCATGGGTCACATCAGCAATTTTTTTTTTCCCTTTTGAGACGGAGTCTCGCTCTGTTGCCCAGGTTGGAGTGCAGTGGCGTGATCTAGGCTCACTGCAACCTCCGCCTCCCGGGTTCAAGCAATTCTCATGCTTCAGCTTCCCGAGTAGCTGAGATTACAGGTGCCCGCCATCACGGCTGGCTAATTTTTGTATTTTTAATAGAGACAGGGTTTCACCATGTTGGCCAGGCTGGTCTCAAACTCCTGACCTCAAGTGATCTGCTTGCTTCAGCCTCCCAAAGTGCTGTGATCATAGGTGTGAGCCACTGCGCCCAGCTACCTCGTCAATTCTTAATCTATAAACCATGGATAGGCTTCGGGAGAACCCGAGAACCAATGACATCTGTTGGTAAGTTTTATGTGTGCAGTTTTCTACAGAGAGGGTCAACAGCATATATATTTCCAAAGAAGTCTGTGGTGCAAAAGAGTTAAAGAGTTTATTATGTTAGAAGTCCTTGGGCAATCAACTTGGAAAAGGGTGGATTGAGAATGGGGACTGTCTAGATCAGGATAATGTTAAATTTGACCCTCACTTGAGGCTTTTGTACAGAGGATGAGAAGACGGCAATTTCAAGGGTTAATTAGAAATTAACACCAACATGACTTGATGAGTGAGATGTGAAATGTGAAAAAAACATCAATGATGAAATCAAGCTTCTGACTTGGCAGCAGTGAGCATACCAAGAGTTTCAGGCTTGGAAGATGAATAAAGTTGGGAGCATTCTGTTTTTTATGGGAGTGCCCATGGGAGGTACAGGGAGAAATGGACAGTTGAAAGTATAAGTCTAGCCAGGCACAGTGGATCATGCCTGTAACCCTAGCATTTTGGGAGGCTGAGGTAGGAGAATTACTTGGGTCCAGGAGTTTGAGACCAACCTGGGTGACATAGTGAGACCCCATCTCTACAAAAAATAGAATTAGCTCGGCATGGAGCTGCAAGATTATAATCTCTGTTACTTGAGAGGCTGAGGTGGGAGAACTGCTTGAGCCCAGGAGGGAAGGCAGCAGTGAACTGAGATCAAGCCACTGCACTCCAGCCTAGGCAACAGTAAGACCCTGTCTCGAAAAAAAAAGAAAATACAAGTCTGGAAAAACATAGCTGGGAGTCAGTAATGCCAGTTTTAGCTGAGGGAGTTAAGATTATTCAATCAGTGTTAAGGAAGAAACTCAATAGTAGTGACCACCAATACTTAAGGAAAAAAGGATAAAATAAGAGGAATGAGGCCGGGCGCGGTGGCTCAACCCTGTAATCCCAGCACTTTGGGAGGCCGAGATGGGCGGATCACGAGGTCAGGAGATCGAGACCATCCTGGCTAACATGGTGAAACCCCGTCTCTACTAAAAAATACAAAAAAAAAAAAAAAAACTAGCCGGGCGCGGTGGCGGGCGCCTGTAGTCCCAGCTACTCCAGAGGCTGAGGCAGGAGAATGGCGTGAACCCGGGAGGTGGAGCTTGCAGTGAGCTGAGATCCGGCCACTGCACTCCAGCCTGGGCGGCAGAGCGAGACTCCGTCTCAAAAAAAAAAAAAAAAGGAATGATAAAGGCTGGCTGAAATATCTTGGTGTCTAACCTAAGAAAGGAGAGGTTAGGTGTTCATATTTATTAATATGGATCTAGAAAAGCATTTATTCACTAATACATTTTGTGTTCTCTAATTTAAAATTACCTTTTCATTTTGCTTGATTTTCCTTCAGCTAAATTAGAACTTTGTAGTTTTTCCCCTAAAAAATTCAATGGCATTCTCTGATTTTCTTGTCAGCCTGCTTCAAGGAAATCCATGTGTTCAAAATGCTTGCTCGCAGTTTGCTCCATACCAAATGGTTGTTTAATCCAAATATCTGAGCAGCAAATTGAGCTGATCCTTCTGGAGAAAGTATGGTTGAACAGCCAAGACCTATTGGTTCAGAAAGGAAAAGACAGAAAATTGAGCTCAATAAATAATGAAAATACAACCTCACAAAAAATTTTATACTCAGAGCAGTCCTGCCCCAGAAAATAAAAAGCTACTGCATTATTCTAATCTAAAGTAGAATCTCTAGAAGAACTGTCTTTAATACCGGAGTGGTAAAGTGATTATAAGAGGAAAAGCAGTCAGTATTACCTGCCATGAAGAGACATTTTATATATATCATCTATCACCCTTCTTACAGAAATCACTTACAAAGAAACTTACCTTTTTGAAAGTTCTGTTCACATACACTATCCCTTTCAATCCCTGGCGAAGAGCAACTGAAGTAAAATAAGGGTCAAGGTAAGTGGCCAGAAGTACCTGTTCTTAGACAAACTTGAGCTATGTTGTTTTGATAATTTTCTAACTAATCTTTCTGTCTACATTTGAACTATTTTAACATTTTTAAGCAGTAAAAAAAATCAAATCCACAGAATAATTTTAGGAAATGTCAAGTTATAAATAAATAGTAAGATCCAAGACAGCAGAATAAGAAAGTAACATCCTAGGGGCCACATGTCTGCTCAGGCAGAGTGTCTTGAGGTGGTACTATTATGTCTAGTGTTTGCTAGCAGGGACTATATCCAAAAGCTCCATCTTCCCAGTATTCTTGGAATTCATCAGGCTCTTTGACTACCATTATCCACAACAAGAACAGAGTCAAATACAAATCACAAGGCCAATTTACTAATTTGTATTAACACATTATTTTATGGAGCTCCACCCATTACTGTGTGGTATTGGTCAAGTTACTTCATGTTAATTTATTCTCCTCTTCTGTGAGAAGGGAATTGTAACTAGTAGCTACCTGATGTGACACTTCAATGAGTTAATAATATAAAGTGCTTAGAGTGCCTGGTACACAATATGTGCTCCAAGAATGTCAACCATTATTGTTAGCACACTGGGTAGAGTGCTCCACTCTAATAGTTGAAATAACCTGTGTCTCCTGCCTAGGACACCCTTTCTGGTAAAAGAATAGCTTAAATTGTAAAAAAAAAAAAAAAAAAAAAAGTTATCTAGTGAGCATGACATCAGAGATGAGAAATATGGGCAGTCTTCAGGATTTTACACAGGTTACTGTAAAACTACTCCTCAAAAGATTCTAGTGATCATTATGTACAAGTCTTCCAGATTATCTGTCACTCCTGAAACGGCACTACTATAAAAATTGCCAATTTTTTGCTCATCATGCTCCCCTTTTGTAAGCTCCATGGATATCTATACAATTCTGGCATAAATTTGGTTACAGCTTTATTTGTAGCTGCCGATTTTTAGCTTGAGACCTTTGTATAGTCACATCTTGTTAAAGATAGCTTAGGCACAAAATTTAATTCTCAGAGCCTATAAAAACAGCAAAGGGAATAAAGGAAATAGGCATGAACACACAAGGCCAGATAACAGCAGTAACATTTTGGCAATTGAAAGGCAAATAGAGTAGTAGCTAACTTAGCAGACCAAGAAAATGTAATCAAAATTAGCTGGGCATGGTGGTGCATGCCTGTGATCTCAGCTACTTGGGAGGCTGAGGCAGGAGAATCACTTGAACCTGGGAGGCAGAGGTTGCAGTGAGCTGAGATTGCGCCATTGCACTCCAGCCTGGGCAACAAGAGCAAAACTCCGTCTTAAAAAAAAAAAAAGAAAAGAAAAAAGAAAAAGAAAGAAAACTTAATCCTAAACTGAAAGGAGGGAAAGATAAGAAGCAACATGATTGACATTACAGAACTTCCCGAAAGGTTGACTGACTAAATTAGTGGCACTAGATACCTTTGGAAGGGAATAGGGACTAATAAGATGACTGACTCGAAGTCTAAGAAGCAGCTAGGCCCTCATATCTCCTTCTCCACTCCATCTACCCGAGTAACTGCCTCTTTAAAGCACTGTAGCAAATTTTTTTCTTTTTAAACATTATTTTTTTCTGAGACAGGGTCTCGCTCTGTCATCCGGAGTACAGTGGTGCCATCACGGCTCACTACTGCCTCAACTTCCCAGGCCCCAGTGATCCTCCCACCTTGGCTTCCCAAGTAGCTGGGACTACAGGAGTGTGCTACCATGCCTAGCTAATTTTTGTATTTATGGTAGAGACGGGGTGTTGCCAGGTTGCCTAGGCTGAGCTCAGGCAATCCACCAATCTCTGCCTCCCAAAGTGTTGGGATTATAGGCATGAGCCACCATGCCAGACCTTTAATTTTTCTGAAGGTAAAACAGACTTCACAGTCTAGGTGTCTTTGAACCAGGGGACACCAGACACTTTTGTTCTCTGAGTAATTCTGGTCAACGCTTAAGAAAATACCTAGACATTAATGTGAGGGGTTATTTGAAGAACAATCACTACCAGATACACCCCACAGTGAAGCCCAATTTTGACACACACCACCCATTTGAAGTTTCCAATTGGTTTTTTATAGTACTCCACTCTTAAAAAAGCAAACAGCCAAGGATTACCAGACAGCTGAAGAAAGTAACTATATGCAACAGACTATAATCTTCTCCTCCAGAGAACAAAAAAGAGCTCTTGGAAATTTAAAAACACACAAACACAAACGACAACAACAACAAAAGCCCAGAAAACAAAAACCAAAAGAAATACGAAAACTTCGTGTAAAAAAAACCAGAGACAGTGGTTCCTATCCAATCCCAACACTTTGGGAGGCTGAGGTGGGAAGATTGCTTGAGCCCAGGAGTTCAGGACAAGCCTGGGCAACATACGAAGTGCCCATCTCTACAAAAAGTAAAAAAATTAGCCAGGTGTGATGGTGTGGGCCTGTAGTCGTAGCTACTTGGGAGGCTGAGGTGGGCGGATCACATGAGCCTAGGAATTTAAGGGTCCAGTGAGATATGATCACGCCACTGCGCTCCCACCTGGGCAACAGAGCAAGATCCTGTGTCAAAAATCAAAAACAAAAACACCTGTATCCAAAATGAAGGCCGGGTACAGTGGCTCACACCTGTAACTTCAGCACTTTGGGAGGCCAGGGCAGGCAGATCACCTGAGGTTAAGAGTTCAAGACCAGCCTGGCCAACATGGTGAAACCATGTCTCCGCTAAAAATACAAAAATCAGCTGGGCGTGGTGGTGCACACCTATAATCCCAGGTACTTGGGAGGTTGAGGCACCAGAACTGCTTGAACCTGGGAGACGGAGGCTGCAGTAAAGCCGAGATTGTGCCATTGCACTCCAGCCTGGGCAACAGAGCCTGACTCCATCTCAAGGAGGAAAAAAGAAAGAAAAACTAAACGCAAGGGCTGGAATGTAAAATTGAGGAAATATTCCAGAGAGTATCGCAACAAGACAAACAAGTACAATAGAAATCAAGGGAAGCCCAAATTTGAATAAATTCAAAAATGAGAGAAGAGAGAATATGGAGGGGTAAGAAAATTAAATAATTCAAGGAAAATGGGGACTAAGAAATTAGAATTTCAGATTAAAAGAGCCCACCGAAAGTCCATAATGCAAACAGACTCAGCACGTCACAGCTGTGTAAAATTTAAGAACAATCAAAACAGACAAAAGATCCTGAAAGTTTCCAGAGAGAAAATTCCTGAGAAACCTAGAATCAGACTGGTGGAAAAGCAATGGAGTCCTCAACTGTGGATGCTTGGAGACAGTGGAATAATAATGCTCCCAAAATTCCAAGGCAAAATGATTATCAGCATAGGATTCTAATTTGATAATAAGTATAGGGCTTCAATATAAACATTTCAGATATACAAGGTATCAAAATTTACCTTTTGTATTCTTTTGCCCCTAAGTTCAAGAATGTACTCCAACAAAATAAAAATAAACCAAGTAAGGTGAAAACATGGGAGATCCAAGCCTAGAGAAAGGCAAAATGGGTCTCTAAAATGATGGTAAAGGGGGATCCTAAGACAACAGCAATATAGGATGCCTAGAGAAAAGCCAGTCCACTGGACCAGGTTGGAGGGCTCAAGGACTTAGTATACTTGACATGTATCAAGACTGGATATATACAGCTATGACAAAAGTTAGGGATTTCAGTAATAAAGCAAATCTGCTCCTACTGAAATAATATTGACCCTCATAAACTGCAGAACGTCAGATCATATCTTGGTCTATGATGAACAAACCACAACACGTGATCCAGTTCCATCAGCCAAAAGGGTACTTCCTTATGTTATTATCTTTTATCCCCACCGTCTCCCTCTGTTGCCCAGTTTGGAGTCCAGTGGTGCAATCTTGACTCACCTCCGCCTCCCAGGTTCAAGTGATTCTCCTACCTCAACCTCTGAGTAGCTGGGATTATAGGTGCTCACCACCATGCCCAGGTAATTTTTGTATTTTTAGTAGAGATGGGGTTTCACCATATTGGCCAGGCAAGTGTTGAACTCCTGACCTCAAGAGACCCAGCCTCCCAAAGTTCTGGGATGACAGGCATGAGCCACTGCACCCAGCCTTATCCCCAATATTTAAGAATAAAATTTTATTCTCTCTACAGAAGTAACATGATCACATTTACTTTAAAAAAAACTCAATACCATGAATTCTTGGGAAAAAAATATCCAAAGTTGATTTTATTACAGATCTCACCATCAGTTTATAGAAAATATAGGGAATGGAAGAGCATGTTTACCACCACCTAGAAATGTAAGAAGCCAAATCCAAAACGTAGAAAATTCTATCGAAAAAATGAAAGGGAAGAAGGGAGGATGAATTGTTATGTATTAAAAAAATTAAGAGGTTATCAACTAAATGCAATATAAGGACTGCGGTGGATCTGAACAAATAGATGAGACAATTAGAAAACTTGGACACCAACTAAAAATTGTATCTTAAGAAATTACCACTACTCTTTCTGAGCTGTGAATATGGTATTGAAACTGTGTCCCCAGGAATTAAAAGCCACCAACAACTAACAGAAATTCTTGAGTTTGCAGAATGGTAGATTAAACAATATGGCCAACTAGAGTCTGCACAGAACCAGCTGACTGATGTCACAGGCCCAATGTCCACCACATTTCATTCTAACTCCCCCAAATTTACACACACGATCCATGAAACAACACGAAGAGATAACTGCACATGCCCAAGGACTTTCTAGACCTCCCCTTTCCTTCCACCAATCACCTACTAATCCCAGAATCTATCCCCTAAACCTTTTCTAGTAAGATTACTGCCATAAAGCCAGCACAGGGGGACAGATTTGAGCTGGACTCATGTGTCCTTATTGGTCAACTTGAAAGAGGAAGCCTTTCTTTCTCAAAAACCTGGGGGCTTAGATAGTACCGGTTTCTAATGCATCAGAAGTGGGCCCCTTTTGTTCTGTAACAACATCATGATTATGATTTAAAAACTAGAGCCCGTATTACTTAAACGTATAATTATGTATAAATTACTATAACGTCTAAGTTCTGCTTTAAAATAATCCAGCAGGAGATGGCTGTAGACACAAGATGTTAATTGCTGAAGCTACGTCATGGGTACATGAGATTTTATTATGCTATTCTGTCTACTGTTTTGTATCTGTTAAATGCTTGTAATGAACAGTTTTTAAAAATTCAATGTATCTTACCACTGGGCAGTCGAAGAGAAGACCACACATCCTGAGCTCCCCAGTCTGGTGTGAGGGGAGGACAGCTGATAACTGGATATGCAGTGTTCCCAGACATCACTGGTCCCAAACCATTACTTCTGCCTGCCACTGCCACAAATACAGTAGGAATGCCATCCCCTAGGGAAATAACAAGTTTATAATTATGCTAAACATTCAAAAGAGGTTTAAAGATAGGGGTTTTTTTTTGGGGGGGGGGGTTTAAGGCCTATATGTTTTAATGACTTGAGGTCCTTGAATAGTCTTCTCTGAAAAAACATAAAAGACACTATTATTACACATATATTCAAGATATAAGGTTACTCTGCCACTTACTATATGTCAAGTTATAAAGTAGCTGGAATAGGTTTGGCTGTTTTTGAGATCTACATTATAAAGGGGATAGCAGGGTGTTAGTGAGGGAATAGCTCATAGGCCTCTTCTATTGCTGCGTAGGCTGGCCAAAGTGAAGAATGACACCATCTGAACAGGTGTCTTTCCTGACTGGGTGGTCCGTCAACCGGTGCAGGGAGACCAGTTAATATAGACCAGGCGTTTAGGGACACGTCCTGAAGCAAGAGTTGAAGGAAAGTTTAATTAATATAGTGTCCCCAAATTTTTAAGGCCCTTTGAAATATTTTTTTAACATAATCTCTTAAGCAATTCATTCTTTGATAAATTTATAAATTATCCTTGCTTGTTTCCTAAAGCAGAGATTTCTAACCTAGAATCCAAAATTATATGTATTTGCAATTTTCTGAAAAGAGTTCTAGAATTCATTAGCTATCAAAGGAGTCTGAGTTCCCCCAACCTCCCACTCTTCCCAAATTAGTAACTACACTTCCATAGCAACGACCTGTAGATGAAATAATCAACTTTTTTTTCCAGTTGAGAAACATTTGGTTGTAAACCCAGGACTCCACTATTTTAGATCACTGCTATACCATTATTTTTTATGTACTGTATTCTGAAACTGTTCCTTAATTTCCTATCTGACTGCCTCCCTGGAAAGGGTGGCAATTAAAGATTCGCAGGAGAACCTGCTGTTTCAACCTCCCACCTCCTGTAACTGTGGGGGCCTATTTTCTATTGGAGCGTTATTAGAAGCAATGCTCCAGGGCCTTCTTACCAGATAAGGATGGCAGAGGTTCTTATTATTCTAGTCTTTGTTTTCTTTTCATACTTGCATTTTTAATTCTTTCTCCCTGCTCCTTTCTTTTCTAAGCTCCTAGAGTACCTTAAGCTCTTTGGAGGTGAGCATTAAGAAAGAAAGCCTAGTAGCCGGCCGTGATGGCTCATGCCTGTAATCCCAGCACTTAGGGAGGCCAAGGTGGGTGGATCATGAGGTCAGGAGATCAAGACCATCCTGGCTTTGAAACCCCGTCTCTATTAAAAATACAAAAAATTAGCCGGGCGTGGTGGCGGACGCGTGTAGTCCCAGCTACTCAGGAGGCTGAGGCAGGAGAATGGCGTGAACCTGGGAGGTGGAGCTTGCAGTGAGCTGAGATGGCGCCACTGCAACTCCAGCTTGGGCGACAAAGCGAGATGCCGTCTCAAAAAAAAAAAGAAAAAAAGAAAGCCTAGTATATCATGTGTTTTTCCCTTAGAAAGGTGACAAAGCTCTTTTTCAGCATTATTAGTCTAAAGTATGTAATTTCTTTTAGCAAAATCAGAAATACCTGAAATGTCCATATTACTTGTGGTTTACCTTCATACTCAGCTTTAATCCTCAGGGTTTCATCTGGTCCTTTATGCGCAGATGTTACTCGAAGTTCACATGGAATGCCAAAATTTCCACAGGCCTTCTTGATTTTTTCACAGTGACCAACATCAGAAGTAGAGCCCATCAACACTACAACCCTGCACTGACTTTCTGATTTCAAAAGCAACTGAAGAAAAAATACATGGATATGAAAAGAACATAAAAACAAAAATGAATAAATGAGCTAGAGTTTGTAGTGAAATTACATCTGGGCACAATATTTTCTTTCTTAACAGATCAAATTTAAGACAGAGACAAACAGAACAAAAAGACAGCATTTATTTTTTAAAATCTCAATATATAAAGGAAAGTGGTCTTCATCATTAAGACTTAAAGAATTCAATTTTTATGAGACAAATTATGTTTATTTCAAATAAACAGTAAAGATACTCAAAATCTTTTAATTAATATTCAGGAAATTATAATACAAAATATTTCATCCTAAGACCTTTAGTGCACTTTGTTTAATGGATGCTTTTCTTTTCTAAGCTCCTAGAGTACCTTAAGCTCTTTGGAGGTGAGTATTAAGAAAGCCTAGTGGCCAGCAGTGATGGCTCACGCCTGTAATCCCAGCATTTTGGGATTACAAGGCATACTTCTGATTAGCCAAATCAGAAGTCATGTTTTAAGTCTTTGTAAATTAATTGCTTGGAACTCAAAATATATATATTCCTATGAGAATAATGTTCTCAAATGTGATTATGACCCTTGCATAATCACAAACCCTATTCAACTCCCAGAATTAGAGTAATACCATAAAACTTAAAGTAACATTTAAAGCCACACAGAGTTCCAGCCATCCCATGCTAATAGAACTCTGAGTAGCTGTGGAGGTGAGTAGGAAATATAAGGTTTCTCCTGCGGGGTAGGGAGGAGACAGATTTCAGATTTCCCCAACAGGATCTGGGAGGTGTGTATTGGCCAGCTTAACAGCAGGGAGTTCCAGTATACTAGTAAGGATTGCCCAGCTGATACATTTCCTAAAAGTGTTCCTCACTTTCAAAGTCACTGAAAAGTCAGGCGTGGTGGCTCATGCCTGTAATCCCAGCACTTTGGGAGGCTGAGGCAGGCGGATCACGAGGTCAGGAGATCAAGACCATCCTGGCTAACATGGTGAAACCCCATCTCTACTAAAAATACAAAAAATTAGCTGGGCGTGGTGGCGGGCGCCTGTAGTCCCAGCTACTCAGGAGGCTGAGCCAGGAGAATGGCATGAACCTGAGAGGCGGAGCTTGCAGTGAGCCGAGATCGCACCACTGCACTCCAGCCTGGGTGACAGGGCGAGACTGTCTCTCCAAAAAAAACTAAATAAAACAAAGTCACTGAAGAGAAAAGCACTATACTCTCCCATTTTTTTCTTTTGAAACAAGATTTTCTTAAAAGAAAAACACATAATACATAATACAGTACAGTTTCACTATAGAAGGTTTACCTCTACTCTCTCTGCAACCCACTCAAAGTTTTTCTTTACCATTTGGAGCCCTTCAGGAGTTACTTCTTTGAGGTCCCGATAAGACTAGAAAATAAGATAGAAAGTTTAGAAAACAAGTATGTCTTGCTACCTGAAACTATCTGGTTTCTGAGTTTTGGGGAGGGATTATGAAGAGCTTGTATAGCAAGGGATACTTCTGAAAATGCATTTTTTCACTTCCTGAATTAAACTACAGAAAGTTCCATAGTAAAGTATACTTTTATTTTCTCTTAAGGTTAAGTGTTTTCTGTACTAGCAACTACAATTAACTGCCTTGAGAATTTTTATATATTAGGTATAGAAAGGGTCTTGCTCTAATTTGGTTATTTTTTATTTTAAATACATGTGCAGAATGTGCAGGTTTGTTACATAGGTATACATGTGCCATGGTAGTTTGCTGCACCATCAAGCTGTCATCTAGGTTTTAAGCCCCATATCTGTTAGGTATTTGTCCTAATGCTCTCCCTCCCGTTGTTCCCCATCCTGCAAGAGGCCCCGGTGTGTGTTGTTCCCCTCCCTGTGTCCATGTGTTTTCAGTGTTCAACTCCCACTTATGAGCGTGAATATGTGGTGTTTCGTTTTCCGTTCCTGTGTTAGTTTGCTGAGGATGATGGCTTCTAGCTTCATCCATTTCCCTGCAAAGGACATGATCTCATTCTTTTCTTTTTCTTTTTTTTTTTTTTTTTTGTGAGACAGAGGTTCGCTCTATCAACCAAGCTGGAGCGCAGTGGCACAATCTTGGCTCACTGCAACCTCTGCCCCCTGGGTTGAAACAATTCTCTGCCTCAGCCTTCCGAGTAGCTGGGATTACAGGCGCCCACCACCATGCCCGGCTTATTTTATTTTATTTTTAGAGACAAGGTTTCACCATCTTGGCCAGGCAGGATGGTCTTGAACTCCTGACCCTGTGATCCACCCACCTTGGCCTCCCAGAGTGCTGGGATTACCGGGGTGAGCCACCGCGCCTGGCCAATCTCATTCTTTTTTATGGCTGCATAGTATTCCATGGTGTGCATGTACCACATTTTCTTTATCCAGTCTATCACTGATGGGCATTTAGGTTGGTTCCATGTCTTTGCTATTATAAATAGTGCTGCTCCTGTGCACATGTCTTTACAGTAGAATGATTTATATTCCTTTGGGTGTATACCCAGTAATGGGATTGCTGGGTCAAATGGTATTTCTGGTTCTAGATCCTTGAGGAATCACCGCACTGTCTTCCACAATGGCTGAACTAATTTGCATTCCCACCAACAGTGTAGAAGTGTTCCTATTTCTTCACAGCCTCTCCAGCATCTGTTGTTTCCTGACTTTTTAATAGCAGCCATTCTGACTTGTGTGAGATGGTATCTCATTGAGGTTTAGGTTTGCATTTCTCTAATGATCACTAATGATGAGCTTTTTTTCATGTTTGTTGGCTACATAGATGTCTTCTTTTGCGAAGTGTCTACTGTTTTTTATAGGAGCAGAAATGGAGCCTGGTAATATCCAGGAGACTTGGGATAAGAGTCCCAGATCTGCCCGACTCTAGTAATTGTGAAGATACCCATTCTCTTAAGACCCTTAGTTTTCATTTAGCCAAAGATAGTACTTGCTGTTATTGTTGTGAGAAGGTTATTAAGGTAACAGATGAGAAATTTGCTTTATAAATGTAAAGTATTATTCCTATTATTCTTATATTAAGATACCGGAGATATTTCTCTTTAAAAATAAACAGCAATCAACAAAACAGGTTCCTATCATTAGGAACAATAATTTGCTTTTTCCCCTCATCTCTCCTTTCTCCTCTATCTCAGCTTGACCTCAAAAAGGATAAAAAACCTGACACATTATCTACCTGTTTGTCTTTCTGTTGGCTTCGATCTCCTGATGGCCAGAGTCTCCAGGAATCATTGTCAATAACATCAGCAAGAACAATTTCTTTGGTGGTTACATCAACACCAAATTCAATCTGGAAACAGCATGTCAACAAAGTTTTCAAAAACTATTCTATGAAAGCATCTCTCAACTCTAACCTTTACTTTCAAATCCCATTGTTTTATCTGTACCTTCATATCAACCAGTGTACAATTCTGGGGCAACCAGGATTTCTCCAGTATTTCAAATATAGCCTGTGTAGCATGACTCATGATATCCACTTCAGTTTGGCCTATAACAAGTCCAGCGAAGCAAAGTTTTGCAGCAATCAGCTGTTCCTCAGACCACTGTGGGTCATTATTGGCATCATCCTGTGAATAAAGTATAGTAGTACAATTAACTTAAATCTAAAATTTTTAAACTTTTCAGAAAAACCAACATCCTTTTCACCTTGAGCATGAACTCCTTAGAAATTTTCAGCCACGGCTGGGCATGGTAGCTCACGCCTGTAATCCCAGTGCTTTGCAGGGGCTGAGGTGGGCGGATCACAAGGTCAGGAGTTCGAGACCAGCCCGGCCAACATGGTGAAACCCCGTCTACTAAAAATACAAAAAATTAGCTGGGTGTGGTGGTGCACACCGTAATCCCAGCTACTCAGGAGGCTAAGGCAGGAGAATCATTTAAACCCGGGAGGCAGAGGTTGCAGTGAGCTGAGAGGGCGCCACTGCACTCCAGCCTAGGCACAGAGGGAGATTCCGTCTCAAAAAAAAAAAAAAGAAAAGAAAAGAAAGAAATTTTGAGCCAGGTGCAGTGGCTCACACTGCAGTCCTAGTAATTTAGGAGGCTGAGGCAGGAGGATTGCTTGAGCCTAGGAGTTCAAGAGCAGCCTAGGCAACAAAATGAGACATCTAAAGAAATTTTTAATTTACGATACTCCTTAATTCAAAGCAATTATTACTCCTTTGTTCTTTTTTTCCTAGTTAGCTCCTGCAAGCAGAAAAAACTATTACTCTTAATTTGTCTACTCTCAATAGCACTTTAAAATTCAAAGTATTTAGGTGAGTAACTTATTCTAGGTCACAAAGTATTTCAAAGAATTTAACCTCTAAACAAATTTAAACAGAATTTAAGTTTGTGATTTTTGTTTTTCCTTAGTAACAGTCATCAGACATGACAGGAAGGTCAAAGCACATTTTAATCAATCAAATCTTTCCAAAACTACAGTTCTCATAACTTCCTGACCTCACTTTTTATTAGAATTTATACAGGACTATAATTTTTTAGGGACATTATTTGATAATTCAAGAGACCTCAAAGAGGTAAGTGAAAAAAATGAAATAATTTCATTTTATTCTAAGCTGTGTCCAACTTTATATGACAATATCTTTATAAATTCTTCATCTATATAATCATAATACACAAGTTATATAACTTATTGATTAAAAAGCAACACTGATATTGCTTCCCAAGCAGATCTATGCTTAACAGCATAAATGAAGATGGTTAAAGCAGTAAAGCCTATAAAAATTCATAACCACTGATTCTTACAACCTTTATTTATATATTTTTACTTACAAGAGACATTGTTAGTATAGTTTTCCTGTATTAGAATATAAAAAGATTTCAACTAAATTTTTAAAAAATTAACTGTTAGTTTTCTTGTCCTCCTATTAGTCATCTTGGTTCAAAGGTAAGATTTTCAGATGCTTTCTTTATAAAATTTGATCTATCATTGCTAATGGAAGTGTACATTATTGATACTGGCAACTAGATAAGACAAATTTTGGGATGACATTTGCAATATCAAAATATCAAAAACTTTGCTTGAATATTTAAACCTTTAGAGTTTCTAATTATAAATTTATTGCCGTGTTACAGTAAGACATAAAATAGAGGCATAAGATAATTACCTTGAAAAACAACTCCACTTTAGGTGGGTAAAACTTATATCCTTCCTTGACACCAGGATTTCTTTTGAGAAAAGAACCAGTTGCTATTCTTCTGCAAACCCATTCAATTGGAATCATTTCACACTGGGGTGCAATGAAAGCTGTCTCCCCACATTTTCTGGTGAAGGCAGTTTTAATACCTACATATTGATAACCAAAGTTAAAAAAGGCATTGAAATAATATGTAAAAAGGTAGATCTGAGGCACAATAAAAGTCTACCCTTTACAAGAAACAAAGAACCTCTATCAAAAATAAGTGTAATTTTTTTTTTTTATTTAATGTAGATGCAGTCAGTTTTTGACTCAAACAGTAAGCAGCACATGACTATACATACAATGTATTGTTCAGCCATAAAAAGGAATGAAAATTCGTGATACATCCATGCTATATAATACTGATGAAGCTTAAAAACACTAGGCTAAATGAAAAACACAAAATGCAAAAGGACAAATACTTGTGATTCGACTTACATGAGGTAACTAGAATAGGGAAATTCAGACAGAAAGAGAATGGAAGTTACCAGGGGCTGAGGAGTAGAAGGAATAGTTATTGTTTAATGCTACACAGTTTGTTTGGGATGATGAAAAAGTTCTGGAAGTGGATAATGGGATGAGTGTACAACATTGTGAATGCACATAATGCCACTGAATTGGACACTTAAAAATGGTCAAACTGGTAAATTTTATGTATTTATAACAATTTTCTTTAAAAAAAAAATCAGGAGCCTATTTGATGGCAGATATTGTTCTAATCATTTTAAATACATCTTTTTTGTTTAATTCTCCAAACATTTGATAAGATACTATTAAGATCAATCCAACAAAACAGGCAAGGACACTAACACACAGCAGTAATGTCAGCTAGTATTAGGTAAAGCAGGATTTCCAACCTACCCTGTCTCTAGGAGCCACCCACTTAACCACTTTGCTATATTGCCTCTCTGGGAAGTGTTATTACATCACAGTACAAAGTAACGCTACAGCATTAACATGAATTAAAATAACTCCTGGAAACCTACATGGGTTTGAGATAATGCTCATTTTCAGCCTGCATTACTATTTCCAATCCCAACCTAATCCTCTAGTCTAACTTTTATTATCAGGAAAGAATTGAGGATCTTTGCTGTTATATGTGTATCCATACATGAAGGGAGCTTCTATTTATGGAAACCCTCCGCTGTGCTAAGTGTTTTGTATATGTTGTTTCATTTAATTGTGCATAAAATTTTGAGGTAGGTTTTTTTTTTTTTTGAGACAAAGTGTCACCGAGGCTGGAGTGCAGCGGCGTGATCTCAGCTTACTGCAACCTCTGCTCCTGGGTTCAAGAGATTCTCCTGCTTCAGCCTCCTGAGTAGCTGGGATTACAGGCATGCACCACCACGCCTGGCTAATTTCTGTATTTTTAGTAGAGACAGGGTTTCATCATGTTGGTCAGGCTGGTCTCGAACTCCTGATCTCGTGATCCACCCACCTCAGCCTCCCAAAGTGCTGGGATTACAGGTGTGAGCCACCACGCCCAGCCTTGAGGTAGGTATTATTATTTATACATTTTACAGTGAAAAAAACAGAGGTTCAAAGTAGTAATTTCACACACTAGGTCATGTAGCCATTTGGTAATGGAGCCTGGACTTGAAACACACTGTCCAAACCCTACACTATTTCCTCGGCCTTCCCTTTAAATCTGACTCATAAGATTCAAATGAAAAAGGGAAAGAATTGTGGTATGTTGCATGAACAGAAACCCTAAGGAAAAAATGAAAAGGGGGAAGTAAAATTGTCATTTTAACCTTTTTTTTTTTTTTTTTTTTTTAAATTAGATGTAAGCTGTTGTTTAACTTTTAATGAATGATCAGGCTCATGGATAGACAGGTGACTTTAATCAATTCTCAACTTGGGGTAGTAACTACATCGTTGGCTTCAAGAGCTCTTTTCTCTTAGGTCTGTTAATCATTAGTCATATATTTGCTCATTTGTCTACCAAGCTGGACATAGTAGTATCCAATTCTATTGTTACCATAAAGATACCAAAGAGAACCAAAAGCACATAATGAAGCTACGGTAATCACCTCTGCACAAAAAAACCCTAAAAGTTTCTAAAAGAGACTCAGTTTAGATGACACAATGATGGCTTCTAATACTGCTAAATATGAAAGCAAATTCCATGACTGTGCATGGTGAGAAAAAATTCCCATTGTTTATCTTAGTTGTCTACAAAACTCAAAACTCTCATTCAAGTTACTAAAAAATGTTTATGTCACTTACACACTCTGAATGACAATGAACACATATAAGCTAGAATTATGAATACTAATTCTAGCTAATACATATGTCCCTGTGGCCGTCCCTCTTTTAGATCGGTCCAGATTCCCATCTGTGGTTTAGCAACTGTAGTATGGTTCTTCATATACTATTATCACACTTTATGTAATTATAGTGAATTTCTGAGAGGAAATTGGGATTTCATCATCACTGAGAAGGCCAGATTTTAATTTTTAAGTAATAAAACCAAATCCACAAATTGTATAACATAGTTATGGCACAGTTATACTATTTCCATGGAAAAAGATTACTTCTTATTCATATAGTCCTTTACTGTTTGTTCCTGAGTGACAATGAGAAAAGTAGAATCCTGATTTTCTGATTCTCATCCCGATGCTCTTTCCCCTCTACTTTCTACCTTAATTTGGAACATAACTCTGGTTGTAAACAACAGTTTTAAATAGACCACTGATGGCCAACTAGATGAGGCATTTATATGACTAAGCAAGTAAAAATTACATAAGGTTTAATGGAATTCCTAATATGTACCCTAAAACTAGTCTGTTTAGAAATTTTTAAAAATTCAGGTTTACTTAGTTTCACAGTACTAGACATAAAACCTGGAAAATATCTTTCAACATTTTCTGTGAACCAATTAAGTTTTAGCTCTGTTAAGTGCCAAATAAAGTAGTTTAAAGATAATTATTGGAGTATTTCATTTAGGTAGCCTTCCCTGTTCCCCTGAGCACAAGACTCTCAGAGTTAAAACAGAGAAAGTCTTGGACAAACATAACACAACTGAGTCACTCTAATTTACTTGTTATAAAGTTCTGGAAATGGATAATGGGATGAGTGTAAATACACTCAGAAAATACACTAAATAAGCAAATAAAAAGTCAGGCTTTATCTTCCATTACTTAATATAATCCTGTAGCTATGTGAAACTACCAAGGGTACACAGAAAATAATCTTCTGACTGCTAACATTTTAAAGAGTTAAGCACTTTAAAAAATGTTTAAGTGGGCCGGGCACGGTGGCTCAAGCCTGTAATCCCAGCACTTTGGGAGGCCGAGACGGGCGGATCACGAGGTCAGGAGATCGAAACCATCCTGGCTAACATGGTGAAACCCCGTCTCTATTAAGAAATACAAAAAACTAGCCGGGCGAGGTGGCGGGCGCCTGTAGTCCCAGCTACTCGGGAGGCTGAGGCCGGAGAATGGCGTGAACCCGGGAGGCGGAGCTTGCAGTGAGCTGAGATCCGGCCACTGCACTCCAGCCTGGGCGACAGAGCGAGACTCCGTCTCAAAAAAAAAACAAAACAAAACAAAAAATGTTTAAGTGAATGGAGAGAGTTAAAACTTGGGAAGCAAAAAAAAAAAATCGATGGAACAGGCCGAGTACAGTGGCTCACACCTGTAATCCCAGCACTTTGGGAGGCCAAGGCGGGTGGATCACCTAAGGCCAGCAGTTCAAGACCAGCCTGGCCAACATGGCAAAACCCTGTCTCTACTAAAAATACAAAAATTAGCCGGGTATGATGGCGTGCACCTATAACTGTAATCCCAGCTACCTGGGAGGCTGAGGCATGAGAATCGCTTGAACCCAGGAGACGGTGGTTACAGTAAGCCAAGATTGTGCCACTGCACTCCAGCCTGGGCAACAAGGCAAGATTCTGATTCAAAATAAATAAATAAATAAAATAAATAAATAGATGGAACACTTATCTGTATTGCAAAAGGAACCTAAAATTAATTTGATGCTCTCTTTAGAAATTACCTCAGTCATTGGGAAGCTACCAATCAAGAAACCTTGAAATAAAAATCTTAGATTCTGTGACTTAGAAACTGGAAGATCCTTTAAATTTATAGCAATATACTTACTTTCACAGCATAGAGGGATTTATGATGTAGATAACAATCCAGGTTTGCAATTAAATCTTTTTCACATTAGCCAAAATTGTGAAATAGGATACTTTGGAAGAGACAAAACTACTCCAGAAATGCACTGACAATGTATTTAAATTACATTACCTTGTTATTTTGTGTAAGGCAGTTACATCTAACTTAACTGAAAACAAAAGCATTAAATTCCCTTTTGAATTTAAGAAAGATTAGTGCTACTAGAAACTCTAAGAAATGAAAGGGCAACTGGGAATACTGGAATTAAAAGGAAAGTTATTAAATTATAAAATTAGAACTGGCAAGCATGAGAAAGAAAAAGCTTTTATTTCATAGGTAAGGCTTCAAAGGTTGAATGATCCAAAGCAATGAGGCTATTTACACTGTGCGGAAAGAGTTCAAATCTTTTCCTAGCTGAAATTTCATATACTACAGACCAACCAGCAACTGACTGAATCCCTCCAGAAAACCCCTTTATCCTAATTTCCTTCCCTTTGCTTCAGATACCCACCACACAATGTTCTGATCTTCCTGTGGTCTTTTGAATCTATTTCTCTATTGAAAATAGAGCCTTCAATCAGTTTTTGAACAGGAGGGTACTCTGGGGTTTTAGTTCAAATCTCTCACTTGAGGAATGGCAGGAGGAGAAGGTTTGGTTGCTGTCTTCAACTACTTTTCAGGGCTTTCAAGTGGAAGAGGAATTTGAAATTCTGTATTATCTCCCAGAGGCAGAACAAAGACCATTTGTATAGAATTACAGGGAGTAAATTTCAGTTCATCTGTTAGAACTGCTTAACATTAAAATGGGTTTCCTTCATAGTCAAATTCCTTAAAGTGAAGATGGCCTTGGAGAGGTAAGCTGCATAGAGAGTGCATGTGCCAGATATAAGATTACAGCAAACTTGTTAAGATTCCTTTTAATTCAATGACACTAATAATCCCAAACCAAATAAGGTGTTAAGAGTGAAGTTTAAGAGTTCTTGGTTTGATTTAAATTCACTTAGCTTTTGAAACATCTGCAAACAAGTTGTTCATCTTAATGCCAACTTCACTTGAAAGACATCAACATGCTTACCAGAGAAGGTGAGAGAGAGCTTTAAGAGAGCTGCTTACCTGCTTCCTGTAACAGCTGAAAAATACAACTCGTGATTTTATTTGAGATTGCAGCTTTTCCTTCCAGGTGATTCTTTCTAGCTGCATTTCCTGCTGTAATCTGGTCCTTGGACTGCAGGAGGACTTTTCCTGGGCTGTCTAACAATTCGTAGACTTCTTTTGTTTTACCTTCATACAATTTTTTACCAATGTTCAGTACTGTGGAAATAAAATGGAAATAGATCAAAATTCAGAAAGAAATGTCCTGAATGCTGAAGACTAAATCACCTAGAACAATGAATCTGTAAATATACAGTGATTAAGGAATATTAATAAAAATTAAATCATCTGTATAAAACCATATACTCTACAATGTATTTCTTGTATCATCACATTTGATACACACAATTTTGTGAAGAATTTTAATTACATAAATAATTGTAGAAATTAGTAAAGCAGAAATCAAAAGGGTTGAGGGTCATGCAGTTAGGAAATATAAGAGGTAGATAAAATCCTAACTCCTCTGACATCAAATCCTGTGCTCTTTCCGTTATTAACCTGCCTCTCACGGCGGAACTGAACTAGAATTAAAATTAATTAAGACACATTTCAAGTAATGTAACTATACTAGTATTTTCACAGACACACTCACAATATAGTATCTAAACTAGCTTGCAGGAAAAAACATGCGATTTTTGCTGATATTTGCTTTTTTGCAGGCAAAATGGGAACATTCAGCCAGATGGGTTTCTTGATTTCAAGTTAATATTCAAGAGGAGGCATGACATCCCACTGAAGTTAGCACATTTGGAAGCATCCCTCTCTATTTCTTAATCCTGTCCCTGTCCCCATTAATCCTTTCTCTTCACTAACAGTTGTAAGAAATTGTGAGGAAGTGAGCACAAAGGAATCCAATTTTGATGCTGGTCACAAGACCTAAGAAGTACACAAAAGGATGATTTAGAGAAAGAGTAAAGATAATAGATGTTTAGGAACTTAAAATTTCCAAAGAGAGAAATCAGCCCTCATGCTCCCAGAACACTCTCAGTATCAACATTTTCCTAATGTATCCATGTGCCAAGGGATATACCAGTAAATAATAATTCCTGCTCTCAAGAGACCTGAGTCTGAGGGGAGCTGATATTAAGTAAGACATCATAATAACAGAATGTAATAAATACAGACTATGGGACTAGTCTAAACATTAGAAAAGGAAGTCTACAAGAAAGTGACAGGTTGAGATCTGAAGAATGATCAAAATTTAGCCAAAGGAGAGAAAGGGGTAGGTAGTGTTGATGAATAAATACAAGGTGGTCAAAGTGGATTGCAGAACTTCAGTCTGGTTGGAGCTGGAGGTCTGGGTATATGTACATTCCTGTTGGGCAGGGGAAGGGGTGGGGGCTGCAGCTAAGTTGTAGAAAAGAATGGCAGGAGACAAGACTTAAGAGTTGGACAGGGGCCACATCACCAGCTAGTGGAGATAACCATTAAACAAAGTAGGTATAATTTAGTTAACAGTTGCCATTGTAGGGCACCTAATCTAGAGGATGAATCCCTATTCTCCCTAAGGTAATGTCTAGACTCATTAACATGGTTTAAAAGTCCCTTTAAGATACAGTCCTGGCTTACTGCTCCAAATTCTTATTTGTCTATTTCCTCTCTAGAACTCCAACATCTTTTAATTCTTACACAACCTTCCTCCTAGGGCTTCAGACAATCTCTTCTCTCCTAGGCCTGGAAAATTTCCCTTCCATTTTGCTACACATCCTTCTGGTTTGACAAGCCATACTGATTGAGTTTAGACTTTAACCCAAGAAGAGCTATAATGATTTTAAGTGATGAAGCAAAACGGTATTTGGAAAGATCATTATGGCTTCTGTATGGACAATGAAGGGAGGAAGGGGTGAGTGAACAAAAACTAGAGCTTGGGAGACCAGTTAGGATGCTGTTGCAGTAACTCGAACAAGAAACGTCTGGCCAGGTGCAGTGGTTCACATCTGTAATCTCAGCACTTTAGAAAGCCCAGGCAGACAGATTGGTTTAGCTCAGGAGTTCAAGACCAGCCCGGGCAACATGGCAAAACCCCATCTCTACCAAAAAAACAAAAATTAGCCCAGCATGGTGGTATGTGCCTGTAGTCCCAGCTACTTGGGGAGGTCGAGGCTGCAGTGGGCCAAGATTTGTGCTATTTCACTCAAGCCTGGGTGATAGAGTGAGACCCTGTCTCCAAAAAAAAAAAAAGGGGGGTGGGAAAAGAAATGTCTTGGTCTAAGGAAAGAGTAGTGGGCAAAGATGCAAGATATTTAAGATAGTAGCTTTGAGAATTCAGCATGGAGCATAAGAGAGGGAAGAGTAAAGAACAGTGGGCCGGACACAGTGGCTCATGCCTATAATCCCAGCACTTCAGGAGGCCAAGGTGGGCGGATCACTTGAGGCCAGGAGTTCAAGACTAGGCTGACCAACATGGTAAAACCCCATCTCTACTAAAAATACAAAAATTAGCTGGATGTGGTGGTGTGCACCTGTAATCCTTGCTACTCGGGAGGCTGAGGCAGGAGAATCCTTGAACCTGAGAGGTGGAGGTTGCAGTGAGCTGAGATGGCGCCACTGCACTCCAGCCTAGGCAACAGAGGGAGACTGTCTCAAGAAAAAAAAAACAAAAAACAAAACAAAAAACACAATGCCCAGATCAGATAAAGAAATTAACATTTATGTGTATTAATATGCAGTAAGCCCGGGCAAAGTTTGTATCTAATGCCCCTCGCCTTAATTTAGTTGAATCTGTATTACTTAGCCATTAAATAGGGAAGGAATTTCAATTAATGGGTAGAAACAACACAAGAAACGACGATACGTGACATACACAAGTGCCAAAATGATTGCTATAAATTTGCAGATGAATTCAGAAAAGATTGATGAGGACGGAAAAATGATTCATGGAATTGAAATTTAAGAGTCTGGGAAAGCACAGAATTTACACAAAGGATAAGAAAATTCTAGGACTCTGCTGTCCAATAAGGCAGCCACTAGAAATGTGGCTATTACAAGTTGAGATGTGATTTGTTAAAATATACACTGCATTTGTTATAAAAAATTGCAAAATATCTAAACAATTTTTCATCTTGCCTCCATGTTGAAATGTATTTTGTGTATATAGAGCTAAATAAAATATATTAAAATGGGCTCACGCCTGTAATCCCAGCACTTTGGGAGGCCAAGAAAGGCGGATCACTTGAGGTCAGGAGTTTGAGACCAGCCTAGCCAACATGGCAAAACCCTGTCTCTACTAAAAAATAAATTAAAAAAAAAAATTGGCCAGGTGTGGTGGAGCGTGCCTGTAATTCCAGCTACTTGGGGGGCCAAGGCAGGAGAATCACTTGAACCTGGGAAGTGGAGGGTGCAGTGAGCTGAGATCTTGCCACTGTACTCCAGCCTGGGCCACACAGGGGGAGACTCCATCTCAAAAAAAAAAAAAAAAAAAAAATATATATATATATATAAAAATACATATATAAAAAAACACATTGCATCAGTTTTTTTTATCATTTTAGCTTTTAAAATGTGGCTCATAGAAGACAAATTTACATTATATTTCCATTAGCCAGCAATGTTCTGGGAAAAATAATATAAATAAAATGTATATAATGAAAAACAAACTTTGGTGATTTAACCTGACTGGAACATAGCTAAGGATTCACAGGAGAGAAAAGTCAAAATTAAGGCTGAAGAGGTAGAAAGGATAGCAGTATTCAGGATTTGAATGAAAAGGAATTTCAGACTGGACAGACTGGATTTAACATCTCTAGAGATGTCATTGTAACACTTTGCCTTTTAGAGATCATAAAAGTGACATTTAAGAAAAATCAACCTGCCAACGGTACACAAATGGAAAGAAGTGGAAGAGCAAAGATTTTAGAGATTTGCCAGTTTAGAGGTACAGGTACCATGATTTCAAGAAAAATTCTGGTCCTTGCCTTGAGTTTAGGGAGTTGATACTCCATATCATCTGAATCTTTTTTGCTGAGTCTACAGTTGTTTTGTTTTGTTTTGTTTTGAGATGGAGTCTCTTTCTGTCGCCAGGCTGGAGTGCAGCGGCGGGATCCTGGCTCACTGCAACCTCTGACTCCCCTGTTCAAGTAAGTGATTCTCCTGCCTCAGCCTCCCGAGTAGCTAGGATTACAGGCATACGCCACCACGTCCAGCTAATTTTTGTGTTTTTAGTAGAGCCGAGGCTTCACCATGTTGGCCAGGATGGTCTCGATCTCCTGACCTCGTGATCCGCCCGCCTCGGCCTCCCAAAATGCTGGGATTACAGGCGTGAGCCACAGCGCCTGGCCTGAGTCTACATCTTTTTAAAATCTAAATACAGTTACTTTCTATGTGGAAAAGAATGTACCCAGCAGCCAAGAAAAGCAATTGGCTCACTATACATATAGCAACTGGATGTGTGGAATAAACCAACGTTTTTTTCCAGCATAAATAGCAAGAACAATCTTTCCTGATAGTGTAACTTTTTTGCCTAAAGGTTTTGGAGTTCTTCAAAGCCATCATGGCATCAAAGACTACTTGAACACACACACACACACACACACACACACACACACACGGACGCACGCCATCATGGCATCAAAGACGACTTAAAAACACCCCCCTCCCCAGCCATCATGGACTCAGACACCTTCAACACGCGCGCGCGCGCGCACACACACACACACACCCATGACATCAAAGACTGCTTGAACACGCGCGCGCGCGCGCACACACACACACACCCCCCCAAGCTGCCGTGGCATCAAGGACTACTTCAACACGCGCGCGTGCACACACACACACACACATCCATGGCATCAAAGACTAAACACACACACACACCATTGCATCAAAGACTACTTACACACACAACACCCTAGACAGGTTCTTTTTTTTTGAGACGGAGTCTCGCTTTGTCGCCCAGGCTGGAGTGCAGTAGCGCGATCTCGGCTCACTGCAACCTCCGCCTCCGGGTTCTAGCGATTCTCCTACCTCAGCCTCCAGAGTAGCTGGGATTACAGGCGCGCGCCACCACGTCCGGCTACTTTTTTGTATTTTTAGTAAGAGACGGGGTTTCGCCATGTTGGCCAGGCTGGTCTGGTACTCCTGACCTCAGGTGATCCGCCCGCCTCGGACTCCCAAAGTGCTGGGATTCCAGGCGTGAGCCACCGGGTCCGGCCTCTAGACAGGTTTTTCAAAAGTTTCGATTATTCATCTTAGAAAGGTCATTAACCTAACGGACAAAGCAAGACTCAGGTTTTGACGAATCAACACTGATTTGCTTGTATTTTGCAACAGCTATTGATTATAAATAATGCTTCCAGGCGCCTTTCCACCCCTTGGTCATTTCTCGTTCTCCTCTACTTTGCTCCTTCTCCCCATCCCGGAGGCAGTAAAGTTCGGGGAGGCCCGGGAGCGCCTGGGCCACGTGTGCGCCCGCACCGCGGCCTAGAGGCGCGGCTGCAGGGAGGCCGGAGAGAGCTTCGCAGCCCGCCCGTGGCCGCGAGCTCACAGCAAGCTCACGGCCTGGGGGTCAGGAAGACCGCTAAGGACCCAGAACCCTGTTACTCACCCTCAGCTGTCGCCATTATCCTGAGTGGGCTGAGGACTGCGACCGCGCCGGGAAGCAAGGCAGAACTCTAGAAAAGAGGGGTGGTCAGAGAGCTTCGCTGGGCGGGGAAGGAGGCGCGGCCCACAGACACGCCCCCTGGCGGGGCCGCGCGACCCAGAGCCACTCTTTTCAAGCTCCCAGACACCGGCCTAACCCGGAGGGGTATTGGCGGAGACCGAAACGTGGATCTGGGACAAAACATCTTCCCGTTGGCTTCCCGCCGCGCAGGCGCAGCGACGCGACCCCGCCTCCGCGCCGCCCCGCGCTGGCGCAGTGCCGGGACAGGCGAAAAGTGGCGCGCACTGGCAGCCCCTCCCTACTCTGCGGAAGCTCGCATACCCCGGCCCCTTCTCCGCTGCGGGAGCGGCTCAGAGATTGGAGCATACCAAGTCGTGACGGCCTAGGGGGAAGCATGTAGGGAAGGGAATATGAAGGCTAAATGCTCTGAAAGAGAAATGACGTTAAGTCCGTTATTCCCATTACGCTAGTGTTGGGTGCTGGCAAATAACGGAGATTTCCACGTGCAGCAAATACAGCTTTCCAGAGAGCTCTTAGGGGAAGACTAGCTCCACCCTACAGCATCCGTGACCCCTCCCCTCAGCCGCGAGACCGCCCCTCCGCCCTCGCTTGTTGGTGGGCTCGGAGGGGGCGGAGCAGGGCAGAGCTGGCCACGCCACCTAGGGACAGCGCGCGCCGCCGCAGTAGTTGGGGCCAGCCTCGGGAAGGAAGCGCCTGAGGCGAGCGCGAGCTTCTGAGCTCCACGGGCTGAGCTGGCGGCTGGTTGGTGCTTACACCTTGGCCGCAGCGGCAGGTCCCTCCACGTGCTTTCGGCGGCGACATGGAGCTGGAGGAGTTGGGGGTCCGAGAGGAATGTGGCGTGTTCGGGTGCATCGCCTCAGGAGAGTGGCCCACGCAGCTGGATGTGCCGCATGTGATCACTCTGGGACTCGTGGGGCTGCAGCACCGGTAAGCAACAGGGTGGGGGTGGCGGTGGCGGAGGCGTGCATTTCCATCTCTCGGAGCCGCTTCAGTAGGCGTTCTCATGAGCGCCCGAGGGCTGGGAGGACCGACCTCTCCGACCTGAACCGGTACCTGCCTGTGGCATCGACCGGGTTGCCTTGGCGTGCACGAGGGGCACCTCGCTTCCATGAACTTTAGCCTGTCCTGCCCACCCTCCCAGCCACTCATGCCCTTTAGGGGCTTTCTGCTTCTCCGCCCCCCCGTCTGTGCACCCCTCCAGAGGCTGGCCAGCTTGTAAAGCGCCGGTTTGCTTGGTCTAGCTGGGTCAGGGCTCCTCCCCGACTGCATGCGGGTTCTAGTATCCCCGAGCCTGTGGCTGCTCCTGTAAATAGGCTAGTGTGGCGTGGCGGCCAGTCCAGGTCCTTGAACACCTAAAGGTTTTCGCGCGGGGCCTCCAACCACCACAAGCTTTTGTTTGCAAGGGCAGAGCTATTGAGCAGATTATGGATTTGAAAGTAGTTATCGCTCTGGGAATTTGAGGATCCTAGACTTCAGACCCAGGGAAAGATGACTAGTTGATGTTGAGAATAACTACCGGTAGTAGATCTCATATAAATTAAGTGAAAATAAACCAACCATAGGGAATAATGCATCTGGAAAAGATTCGTTGGTAGACGTCTTGTAATGAATGAAAACCTTGGTAATATGACAAAAATTAACTCCCTTCTTCAAAAGGGGGACAGGGGAGTATTGTCTCTATGCCAAGATCCATACACTTGATTTTGAAAAATTGAGAGAGCCCTTCGAGTTAAAAAAAAAATTACTTCGGTGATCTTTCCTTACTACCTGACTTAACTGGAAGTTGAAATAAATTATTACACTAGGATAAGAAAAACAAACCTAGGTTTGATATTCTCACTGAAAGTATTACAGTTTCCATAAGGCAATACAGTAGTAACAACTTCTACAGTTAAGGAACTTGGCAATAACACTTAACAGCAAAATGGGTGCACCATGTATAAACGCATTCCAAATAATTAGCTTTCCCTCAACCAAACTTCAACTAGAAGTACTTTTTGCTGTTTTCATTGTCCCAAATACTTGAATTTCAGTTTCACATTTTGTGTATTCCTTGTTTACTAAAGAGCTGACAATGTGGGAAACATCAAAAAGAATATTTTTAACTTGCATAACTCCAATCTTGGATAATTGTGGGTTGACCATAATAGATTTCTTGTTTAAAAAAAAATTATTGAGAAAATTAGTTATATAATCCAAGGAGAAAGTAAACTCTTGATTATGTGATAGTTGTGAGCCACATTAGATTGTAACATTCTTAGAAGTTATGGCCAGGCGGGGTGGCTCAAGCCTGTAATCCCAACACTTTGGGAGGCCGAGGTGAGCAGATCACGAGGTCAAGAGATCAAGACCATCCTGGCCAACATGGTGAAACCCCGTCTCTACTAAAAATACAAAAATTAGCTGGGCATGGTGGCGCACGTCTGTAGTCCCAGCTACTCGGGAGGCTGAGGCAGGAGAATCGCTTGAACCCGGGAGATGGAGGTTCCAGAGAGCCAAGATCACACCACTGCACTCCAGCCTGGGCGACAGAGCGAGACTCCTTCTCAAAAAAAAAAAGAAGTTATTTTGGATACTCTGTCATGGGGGTGGAGGAGAATCTAGAGGTCTTTAGGGTTGCCTGGTGGTCTGTAGAAAATATATATGAACTGTTCTTCACTATATTTACTTTTTTGCCAAAGTTATCCAAGAAATTTTCATTCCCCTTTCTCCTTCCCTTTAAGGGTGTGCCTGAAGAAAAAGAGACTTTTTAAAAAAACTTACATATTAGCACTAGTTGGAGTTTTAGTACCCATTTTAGGAAAATACTTGGTATTCATGGTTATGGGTTTTTGTGGGGGTTTTTTTGTTTTGTTTTGTTTTGTTTTTTTAATGAATACAATTTGATTCCTGGTTACATATATCTGTTTTCTATAGTTGCTTTTCTGTAAAAGAATTATAAGATTAAATAATACCAGATAAGGGCAATAATTATGTGATTATGTGGTTTTGAGGAACAAGTGTATTACTGAAAAACAATTTAAAATTTCTCTTGTGTAGGCATAGAATCATTAAGGTGCACAAAGAGGGCTGGTTCTCACCCATAATCAATTTAAAATTTTGCATGAGCTATAGTGCTTATCCTTTGGGAGGACTGATTCTGACTGGAAGAACAGTGACACTGCCTTATGTCTTCAATTATCTGCTGCTCTAAACTGATAGATAAGGGCCAGAATAAAACTAAGACCTAACTTTTTTTTTTAGTTTAGTTAGTTTTTTGTATCTATATACTGTACCCTGAGAGGTGGTGGTCTGTTGCAGAAAGCTCTGTTTTCACTTTCTCACCCTCATTCACTCACTGGTTTTAAAACAACTGCAAAAAGGTTTGATTGGGTTTTTTTTCCTTTTTGATGAAGGAATTTATTTCTTATACATTATCTTCTTGTTTTTTTGTTTGGTTTTTTTTTTTTTGAGACAGAGTCTCACTCTGTTACCTAGGCTGGAGTGCAGTGGTATGTTCTGGGCTCACTGCAACCTCCATTTCTCAAGTTCAAGCGATTCTCGTACCTCAGCCTCCCGAGTAGCTGGGATTACAGGTGCCCGCCACCACACTCAGCTAATTTTTCTATTTTTAGCAGAGATGGGGTTTCACCATATTGACCAGGCTGGTCTCGAACTCCTGGCCTCAAGTGATCCACCCGCCTCGGCCTCCCAAAGTGCTGAGATTACAGGTGTGAGCCACCATGCCTGGCCAACCTTATCTTTAAGAAGATGGAATCTAGAAGGTGAGATTTCTGTAACTTTTGCTTTGTATTTGGTTCAGTTTTTTGTCTTGTGCATAATCTAATCGGAAACATTTAGTCCTGGGGTTAACAGAATACCTGGAAGGTATATTACCCATTTCATATAAAAATAAATGGAGTATCAATTAGTTAAGTCAGTCATGCACTGGATATTTAACCCAGATGGGTTCATCCAGATGTACTCCCCCCCTTTTTAGTAGTGCTCGCTATCTTCAGACTTATTCCGTAGCTCTGCTTTCTGTAGGGGAATTTTCAAATGTCCTCTTAGCTGTAAACTGTGCATGCATGTGTATGGGTATGTTCATGCCTGATTCATATAATCACCAAATGCTGGTTTGGTCCTGAAAACATCATTTCAGTAGCTTAGGGAGTTCTGAACAAACCAGACACCCCTTCTTAGAATAAACATTTTCATCTTTAAAACACAGTCACATTTTATGGAGACTAGAATGGCCTGGACATATTTGAAGATTTCATAAAAGGAATTAGTAAACATCTGTAGATTTATCCCATGAATCAGCTAGTTAGCCTTTCCTTGATTAGTTAGGAGATAACCATGCCCTTCCCTTCAGTGAATTATCAATTCTCCAGGTTAGGAATTGAACCTTACAATGACAAACATTTTCATACTACTTCTAAAAATTTATAAGATTTACCTGATGAAGTTGGGTTTCCTGTCTGCAGAAACATTCTGTAGAATCTTTTGGTTCTGTTATTATGCTTTGAGGAAACTGATTTGTAATGATCTCAGGAGCACTTTTCTTAAGAGATTTAGACACTGGTTCTGCAAACAGAGTACAGAACATTACCACTAGAAAGGCACTTGTGAGAATGAGAGATGCACTCAGTCAAACTTCTATGGATCTAGTTCCCAGTTAATCTTCATTTAGTTTTGTGGAGAACACAGGATTTGCTTGTCAGAGAACTTACTTTGGGCTGCCAAATTAAGGCAGGGAATATCTTAATTTTGATTTTCATATTTGACTGAAAATGACCAAATATGTAACATTTCTATAGTGTTTAACTTTTATACTCCCTTAATCTGTAACCTTTATCTAAGTCAAGTAAATTTTGGTTTGAGGAAGTGACTTAAGTGTCCTTGCAAATGGTTCCAGTCTTTGATTTTAATTATTTTATAATTCAGTGATTCTTGATTTAAAATAAGTGTTTTCAATTCTTCCATTTATAACTATTGTTTTTTTAAAACTTAGCTTCTTGCATTAGTCTGAAGCAGAATTTACCTGCCCCCAAAAGTCTCCAAGTACCACTGCTTGGTCATTCTGGTCAATATTGGGAAGAGCTCCTTAACATACAATCTGAAATCTAGCTGCAGGTTTTCCAGTAACACCAGTTTAATCTTGGGCAAGTCTCCTAACTTCTGAGTCTGTTTCCTCATCTGTTGGCTTAGACTTACATACTGTAAGGTCTAATGCTCAAATTCAGTGGGTTCAGAATGATACTCTTGTGCGGTTAACCCTTAGCCGTTTAACCTGAAAGGAGAAACTGCTAAGGGTTAACGGCACAAGCATTTTATCTGACTTGCATTTATATCCAGACTTGGAAAAGTACACTTTTCAGTTCACTTGAGATAAAAGGTTATAAGGGGAAGAGGAATTCTTGCTATTTGCTAATACTTTATTCAAAATGTATTTGTTGAGCAGGAGCTCAACAAATAGGAATAATGTACATCTAAGTACATTACTAAGGCAGTGTGGTAGACACTGGGAATACTTTACCATACAGGGCAGATGTGGTCCCTGCCCTGGCAGAGAGACCTCATTGGTTCAAGAGCTTAGACTTCTCTATGCCTCCATTTCCTCATCTATAAATTGGGTATAATGATAGTATCTACCTTATAGGATTGTGATTGGGACTAAATATGTTAAATATATGTAAAGTGCTTAGAACACTGCTTGGATATATGCATGCCCTATGACCTACGCCCTATGACCCTGCCTTTCTCTTCTGGGTATATACTCAACAGAAATGCATACATATGTCCTTTGAGAGATGTGCAATTTTTCATAAAAGCCCCAATCTGGAAACAACTGAAATGTCCAACAGTGAAATAGATTTGAAAAAGTAATGGGATGTACGTTTATTTATTTATTAAATATCGAGATGGGGGTTTCACTATGTTGCCCAGACTGGTCTTGAACTCCTGGGTTCAAGTGATCCTCTTGCCTTGGCCTCCCAAAGTGCTGGGATTATAGACCTGAGCCACTGCACCTGGCTGGCTTGTATATTTTTATAATGGACTGTTCTACAGCAATAAAAAATAACAGATTACTGTTATGAGTAAAATCATGGGTGAATCTCACAAACAATGTTGAATGAAAGAAAAGTACATATAGTATAAATCCCAAACTAATCTATGGTGATAGAAGTGAGAATAATGATAATGTTTATGGGGGCTGGAGGATGATTAATGACTGGGAGGCTTTTAAGGTGCTAGTTTTATGTCCTGAATGGTGGGTTTGGTGTGTTTACTTTGTAAAATTTTGTTTTACTCTTCAATTTTTTGTGTTAACTAAAAAACAGTTTCATAAATCATAAATCTATAAGACATTAAAGCTGGATTATTTTAGAGATCCAGAGGGATGCAGTGATTTGCTCTGTGTTGAGGAATTAGGGTCAAAGAGAGACTGGAACTCAGGTTTTCTTATTAGTCTTGTGTGCATTTTCTTCTACATGCTATATTGCATTATATTTTCTTTTCTGATATCTGTGGTGGGTCATTTTGGAATTACAGCTCCCATTATTAGGCTGGCTTCTGAGTTTGACTTACTTTCAGACTTATTAAAATGTTGTGTTGATTATTGACTACCTTTGAAGAACTGTGTATTTTTTTCTTTTTACATCTGATAACAATAATTTTAAGAATCACTGTAAAGTACAATTTAAAGGACCATGATAACCAAATAGTTATCTAACTCCGGGCAAGTTTTTGTTTACTTATGGTGTTACTCTCACTCTTTTTTATTTCTTCTTCTTTTAAAATATAAAATCTAGCTCCTGCAGAAACTTTCACTCAATGAGCTATGAAAGAAATTATTTCTCAGCATTCTCTGCTCTAATACAGTTCATAAACAATATGTTTAGTCTAATTTATCAAGGACAGGAATAAATATCTCTGTTATCAGGAAAAAGCAACAAGTTTTTTCACTGTGTGGAAGAATTTGGCATTTCTCTGGCTCTTACCATCGTCATGTGCTTTCCTCTTGAAGCTCAAAGTTCCTTGGCTTTTGTTATGACCTTCAAATAATTCTTAAATAAAAACACAGGAAAAAAATCATTATATGACATCATTTGAAACACATTAGTTTTCAAGTATTCAAGTATACTAAAATAAGAACACTTAAGCAGTTGGACAAATAATGAGTTAAGAATTAGGAATATTTTGGTATAAGGTTTAGAAAAAAGTTGAAACTCTTGGCTTAAATTAGGTACCTATTTCTAATGATTTTAAAGGGTCATTTGAGTATATGATAGTGTTAGGATTTTATTTTTAGAGTTTTTCTCTTGCTGAATGAAAGTGCAAAGAAGAATGTCTAGAATTTTTTTTTTTTTTTGGTTAATGTCAATTCGAAGGTTACCATGTTTCCATTTGGCAGTTCTGAGAGTTGGTTTTCTTAGGATGCAGTCAACCTCTTCATAAAATCTCATTTTTCTGGCCGGGCGCAGTGGCTCACGCCTGTAATCCCCCAGCACTTTGGGAGGCCCAGACGGGTGGATCACGAGGTCAGGAGATCAAGACAATCCTGGCTAACATGGTGAAACCCTGTCTCTACTAAAAATACAAAAAAATTAGCTGGGCATGGTGGCGGGCACCTGTAGTCCCAGCTACTTGGGAGGCTGAGGCAGGAGAATGGCATGAACCCGAGGGCGGAGCTTGCAGTGAGCCGAGATTGCGCCACTGAACTCCAGCCTGGGCGACAGAGCAAGACTCCGTCTCAAAAAAAAAAAAAAAATCTCATTTTTCTTGGAGGGTTGCCATTTTTTCTTTGTAAAATGCTATATTCATATTTTAACTTTTTATATTTGGTACGACATTGTTTCCAGTCTCTGTCTATCCCAAATTGCATTAATCTTCTGACAATTTCCTCAAATATTTTCTTGTTTCTTGTGACCCCTTCAAGCATTCACTTAATTTTTTCATCAGACCATATTTGTATCAATGCTCTGACCTCACTGTCACACCAGTATTTTCCAGCCTCTGTGTCACTCACTGTTACAATCTGTAAATGACTTTTAGCATCTTCTAAAGGATTACCTACAAATCAACATGATTTATAATTATTCAAACATAGATAAGTCTTGTATTTGATTATCATTCATTTAAAGCAACTGTGATGGCATAAAGCACCAAGAATACAATAATAACTTCAATATGAGTCAAAAGAAATTTTGTGTCCATATTCAAACAGTATATTCTAAAAATTATAAGACAGACTGTTCTCCATTATTAGTGAGGATAATTTAGCTGCTTTTCATCATAGGTGATCTTCATTGGATATTTATGAATATGGAAATTCCCAATGTTTACTTAATTTCTTTTAATGAGAAGTGGGCATTGACATTTTCCTTCTTTCTCTACCATGTTCTCTACCAACTCAAGTATGTGGAAGCGTTTTGGGTAATACACAATAGAGATATTCTCTATTAGACTTCATATATCAAAATGACGTTTAAAATTTACCAGTTTAGACCCTGCAGTGGACCCAGTGTTATTTTGGGGTAATGATGTGCAGCGGGGGGTGACAGGGGGAGGACATACTCCACGGTACTTTCCAACAGTGAGTTCCTCATCTTCAATTCTCTTAGGTTTTAATCCTGAATACTTTTTCAGCCTTATGATTTTTTTTTTTTTTTTTTTTTAAGAGACAGGCTCTCACTATGTTGCTGAGGCTGCTGTGGACCTCCTGGGCTCAAGTGATCCTCCTGCCTCAGCCTCCCAATTAGCTGGGACTACAGTTGCACACCACCATGCCTAGTGCCTCATGGAAATTTGAAAATGTGTTCAAATCACTCTTGTTGGATATAATTTTTAAAAGATGGTGATAGAAATGTAAAATGATGAAGTCATGGTGGGAAACAGGTAGTTCCTCAGAAACTTTCAGCATATGCCATATGACCAAGCAATTCCACTCCTACGTATAAACCCAGAAGAATTGAAAACATGTTCACATAAAAACATGTATCTACTGCGGAAAAACAGTATGGCAGGTCCTAAAAAAATTAAGCATAAATTACCATATGATCAGCAATTTCACTTCTGGGTATATACCCAAAAGAATTGGAAGTAGGGACTCAAGCAGATATTTATGCATCCACATTCATAGCAGTGTTATTGATAATAGCCAAAAGACAGAAACAACCCAGATGACCATCGATGGATTAATAAAATGGTGTATCCATACAATGCAATATTAAAATGAAGGAAATTCTGATAAATGCTACAACATGGAGGAGCCCTGAAGATATTATAAGTGAAATAAGCCAGGCACAAATGGACGAATATTGTATGATTCCACTTACATGAGGTACCTAGAATAGTCAAATTCACAAAGATGGAAAGGAGAATAGTGGTGACCACAGGCTAAGAAGAGTTGGGATGGACGAGTTATTGTTTAATGGCTACAGAAGTTTCAATTTTGAATGATGAAAAAGTTCAGGAGGTGGAGAATGGTGATGTTTGTGCAACAACGTGAATGTACTTATGGGTATAATGGTAAATTTTACGTATACTTTACCAAAATGAGAAAAAAATTGTACCAGGATATTCATAGCAACAGTGTTCATAGGAGCCAGAAAATGGCAGTGACCCAAATATCTGTCAAGTGATGGATGGGAAAACAAAATATGGTATATCCGTAAATTGGAATATTATTCAGCCATTAAAAGGAATGAAATACTGATATATGCTACAACATGGATGAACCATGAAACAAAAGAAACCAGACACAAAAATGTATATTGGAGTGTACCACTGATGTCCAGAACAGGCAAATCCATAGAAACAGAAAGTAGGTTAGTGGTTGCCAGGGGTTACAGAGGTGTGGTCAAGCAGTTAAACTACTAATGGATATGGGATTTCTTTTTTTTTTTTTTTTTTCCGAGATAGAGTCTTGCTCCGTCACCCAGGCTGTAGTGCAGTGGCGTGACTTCGGCTCACTGCAACCTCCACCTTCCGGGTTCAAGCGATTCTCCTGCCTCAGCCTCCTGAGTAGCTGAGACTATAGGCGTGCGCCACCACGCCCAGCTAATTTTTGTATTTTTGGTAGAGATGGGGTTTCACCATGTTGGCCAGGATGGTCTTGATCTCTTGACCTCGTGATTTGCCTGCCTTGGCCTCCCAAAGTGCTGGGATTACAAGCATTAGCCACTGCGCCCCACAGATACGGGGTTTCTTTGTGGGGTGATCAAAATGTTCTAAAATGGGATACTGGTGATTATTGTATAACTGTGGATATACTAAAAACCACAGTTATGTGCTTTAATTGGGTGAATTTCATTGTATGTAAATTACATCTCAAAAAAGAAAAGTTGCTGAGGTTTGAGAATAGAAAAGTAAAGACAGGTCAAGTGTAGAGGTTAATGCAGTGATGTCTGTGGGAAGTTATAAAGGAACTAAGGAAACATGAACTGCATTGTACTGAGCTTCCAAATCTTCTGAGCCCGAGTTTTTATGATGTGATTGATTAAGTCATTGGCTACAAGATTGAACTCAACCTCCAGCCCCACTCTCCTCCCTGGAAGTCACACTGGCACAAAGCTCCAACCCTCATCACATGATTGTCTTTTTCGGTGACTACCTGCCATCCTGAAGCTATCTGGGAACCCACCTAGAGTAGCCTCATTAACATAACATAGATGCTTCTGTCTCTGGAAATTCCAAAGGCTGTTGATGCTTTGTGCCAGGAATGGGAGACCAAAACTAGATATATTTTTTATTATGCCACAACTTCTTAAAAGTTTATTAAAATATTACCAACAGTACAAATTAGAAAAATAATACCTTCATAATTAACAAGTTGCCTGTATTTAAGATTAGCAGCATACCTGTGTCTGAACTTTCTTTTTTCACATTTATAAGTCTTGGGTTTTCTGAACTTTTAGTAATCAGTTCTTCTCTATCTGGATGTACTATTGGATTAAAATGAAAAGTTCTCAGTAATATCGTGTCTCATCTGACTAAAGTGCATTAATTTATGTAATAATGTTACTGCTAAGATTATACAAATTATAATGCATGTAAAATATACAAAAGTGTTTAAATATTCCAGGTTTAAGGAAAATTGCTTCCAATTTCTTTCTTTTGGGAGAGAGAAATGAATTAGAAGAAAACATAATTCTTAGCAAACCCTTTGAGATGGTAACAATAGATTCCTTAATGCCCCCTGCTGGCCATCTCCTTGTGAATTTTTTTGAATTTTGGAAATATGTTTTGCTACAACCAAAAGAAAAATGGGCATTTCTAGGGTTATTCTTAGATGAACATTGAGGTATTTCACTTGTGATTTTTAGGCTGAAGATCAGCGTGACCTTATCTAATAGGATATATTTTACTACCATGGAATTTCTGTGCTTATTTAAGTATGCCTGACTCCACCCCCTCTGACCTAAAATAGGTTTAACTGTGACTGTCCTATACGAGAAAGCAGTGGCTTTCAGGAATACATAGATAGTAAGGCATTCCAGCTCATATAAATGGCAGCTGATATTGGACCTGAATTAAGTCAGTTTTGTCCTACTCAGAGGAGACAGGTAGGTGATAAGATTGTCAAACACAAATTTTCTCTTTTGGCAGAGTCCTTTCTCCTTTGATAACGTCTTGATTCCTTTTATCCTCTCTCGTTTATGCTTCAGACCAGGGAGAAAAATAAAATATGTTTTAGATCCAGAGATCTAGTTAATTCAATTTTCACGGACCACTTCTTTTTACTTAATGTAATAGGGATAGCCTGAGCAGTCTATGATTCTTCCCTGTGATTAATTTCCTTCGTATTCCATTAGTCATTAATTTTTAAGTGATAATCTATTGGCATTAGCGGATTTTTCTTCCCTGAATGGAATCAAATTGAAACTTCTGTGTGAATCAGTCCTCTGCTGGTTTGAGCATGATAACCTAGCTATGGTTTCCAGTGCTGGCTATGCTTGAGAATCATCTAAAAATACGGGTGCCTGAACTGACTCCAACCTACTAGATCAAAATCTTCAGAAGTTCCAAATAGGGAACTGATCTAGATACTCAGAATCCAAGGGGTCTACAGCTCTAGCTAGATTTTCATTTGAAGTAAGGAAAAGCTTATGGCTTATAGCGTACATTTAAGATAGGAAAGAGAATACTTTTGGGGAACCGGTTTTTTGGCCAGATATCAAAGTTAACAATATGGAGTTATTATTAATAATAACAATTCTAATTTCAGAAATTCATCAGTGAAACATAAAAAATAAAAATGAGGTGACCTCTGTTTTTACATGTAAATGTCCATCACTTTGTTTTTTTAAAGAAAGACTACTTCATGTGAATTTTTTCCCTGAAGATAAATAATCCATATTTTTATACCTCAATACTACATTCTACTACATTCTTCCTAAGAACAGAGTGGCAATTTGTGAATCAGTTGGTATGTATTGCAGGTGTACCTAAAATCCTTGCCTGTTTAAGTTTTTTTCTTATGTATTTAGCTGCTGAGATCCTTGTAGGTTTATATCTTTGCTTTGTATTTTCATGTAACAGTTTAATATAATTTCTAGAATGACTATGCATTTGTTCTGTTTCATATTTTCTAAATATATTCCAAATATTTCATATTTGGCATGCAAACGTGCCAAACAGCAACAACAAAAAAACTCATATTTCTGACTTAATCTTTTCCTTTTACATGTAAAAAAGTATCTTGAGGTTGTGCTTAAGTAAGTTTTCCAAAGGACTAACAAGCTAAAATCTTCTGAATACTAAAGCTCTTAACTTTTTAGATGGAAATCTTTTTTCCTTATTAAACAATGCAGTAGTCTGATTTTCTTCTTTTTTAAATTTTTATTTTTTATTTTTAGAGATGGGTTCTTGCTGTGTTGCCCAGGCTGGATTCAAACTCCTGGGCTCAAGTGATGCTTCAATCTTAGCATCCCAAGAAGCCGGGATTATAGGCATGTGCCACTGCACCTGGCGTAATTTGATTTTTAACTCTTAATGACAAAGGCCATTGCTGTGATGCCAATGGAAACCTAAGACTCTGTCCTATCTGATAAACCAGATAAATAAGTTGGCCAGGAGTATAGGAAATTTGATTAACTAGTTTGTTAAATTAACATTGGGCTTTATACTTTGTAAGGTTATATGAAGCTTTGGACTGAAAGACTAGGTACAAAGTCTTTTTAACAGATAAGCTTCAGCTTGGGGGCTTGGTGATCTCCTCCTCCCCAATTTTGGTTTGTGTAGAAGCAGCAAACTATCAGGTAGCAAGTACGAAATTTCACCTCCACACCCTTAGTGCCCTATACTAGAGGGTAATGATTCTCAAACTTGCTTGCATCATTATCACCTGGAAGACTTGTTAAAACAGATTGCTAGGCCCCAATACTAGAGTTTCTGATTCTGGATGGGACCCAATAATTTGCATTTTGAGTAAGTTCTCAGTTAATGCTGATGCTGCTATACTTGGAGAAAAACAGCCATGGGGAATATTATTTCCACCTTCCATTTATGTGTTTTGAGTTATGATCCAACAGTACCTCATACAATGTTATAACATAATTTCTTAGGTATGGTAGCATCTATTAATATATTGATGGAAAATCTAAAACCCATTATGAGGGCACCACTCTCATGATGCTAGTTATCATTCAAAGGCCCTGTCTCCAAATACATCACATTGGGGTTTAAGGCTTCAGTGTATGAACATTGGTGGGAGGAACACAGTTCAGGCCATAACAGTGTCTTATAATAGCATTTTATGTATATGCTTTGTCACATACCAAAAACAAAACAAAACAAAACAAAAACACCTGAATTTTTTTTTTTACCTGTGTTAAGACCTTGTTTTATATCTGTATCTCCTATGCCTTCTGACTTATTACTGACCAAATCACCTTCAGCTACATATCCAGCAATGACTGTATGAACATAAGGGGATATATATTGACTTTTTAAGTTCACTTCAGAATCGTGTTTTATTTATTTAGATTATTTGTTTGTTTTTGAGACAGAGTCTCACTCTGTTGCCCAGGCTGTAGTTCAGTGGTGCGATCTCGGCTTACTGCAACCTCTGCCTCCCAGGTTCCAAGGATTCTCATGCCTCAGCCTCCTAAGTAGCTGGGATTACAGGCATGTGCCACCAGGCCTAGCTAATTTTTTGTGTATTTTTTTTGTAGAGATGGGGTTTTGCCATGTTGGTGAGGCTGGTCTCAAACTCCTGGCTTCAAGTGATCCACCTACCCCGGCTTCCCAAAGTGCTGTGATTATAGGCATGAGCCACAACGCTTGGCCCAGAATTGTGTTTTAAACTTTAATGTAGTATTTTCCTTTTTAAAGGGACCCTAGTAGTAAATATGATTATTTGCTTTTCCAAAGGTTAGATTCCCTACCCTTTTTGTCATTATAGATATTGGGTATGGATCTGAGTCTCTAACTAGGTCTTCTGACATAACTAATGGAATCATCTTTAGCTGCATCTCCAGCATTGACTGTATGAAGATATCATGCCACTGCTATTGGGCTGCTTTATCTGTAGTCATCTAACTGGGGGATATGTATAGTTCTCTAGCATACCAGTTTCTTTCTTGTCCACCAGTGAAATATTTTGAGATTTCTCACCAGCATTTCCAGTCTTAACTGTCTATTGTTCCCCTCTCTTCCCTAGACACAGACTATCTTAGAATTGGGACTCATCATTTAAGCCAGATAATAAAATCTGGAGACATTGTGGTTAGTAGAGGTCTTTAAGACCATCTTGTCCACACCCCCCAATTCTGGAGTTAGGTCTAGAGCAGCAGTCTCCAACCTTTTGGCACCAGGGACTGGTTTCATGGGAGACAATTTTTCCATGGACTGGGGGTGAGGGGGCCATGGTTTTGGGATGATTCAAGTGCATTACATTTATTGTGCACTCTATTTCTATTATTATTACACTGTAATATATAATGAAATAATTAAACAACTCACCATAATCTAGAATCAGTGGGAGCCCTGAGCTTGTTTTCCTGCAACTAGATGGTCCCGTCTGGGAGTGATGGGAGACAGTGACAGATCATCAGGCATTAGATTCTCATGAGGAGCACACAACCTAGATCCCTTGCCTGCACAGTTCACAACAGTCTTCTTGCACCAGTATTCTAATCTAATGTGAGAGTCTAATGTTGCCATTGATCTGACAGGAGGTGGAGCTCAGGTCGTAATGTGCATGATGGGGAGTGTCTGTAAATACAGAAGAAACTTGACTCACCCACCACTCATCTCCTGCTGTGCAACCCAGTTCGTAACAGGCCACGGACCAGTAAGGGTCCAGGTGTTGGGGACCCCTGGTCTAGAGGAGACACTTGGTTACTTCAAGGTTCCACAGAGCCTTAGAACTTTGACTTCCTGAATCCTGGTCTAGAACTCATTCAGTTTATTTCATGCTATCGTGTCTTTGTGTGTATGTACTGCATCTCAATCCTTTGGTTTAAATATAGTTTAAAGACATTTATGATGGGTCCCAGAGAAATGTACTACTTCTAAGAAAGTCTCATGTATTTTATATTTTTCTAAGTTCTTCAATGCCCTTTTTCTATTCTACTCAGTTTTACCACAATTAGTGTGAAAATTTACTTTAACTTCTGCCGTCTGGGGTTGCATATTTGCTTTATTAAAATTGATCTATTTTAAACTTTATTCTGGGAATCCAGTTTTATTTCCTCCTTTTTGTATAACTGTACTGTTTCTATTCTGGGGAAGATCAAATGTATACTAAATCTGTTTCATAATAAATTCAGCTAGTTTGTCAAATAGCATGTAATGAAACCTATTTAACTTACGTATATAACATTCCTCTTATGGTACTGAACATTTTCAATACAGGTTGAGCATCCCTCATGAAATCTGAAATGCTACAAAATCTGAAACTTTTTGAGCACCAACATGATGCTACCTGTGGAAAATTATACAGTTGACCTCATGTGATGGGTACAGTCAAAACTTTGTTTCATGCACAAAATTATTAAAAATACTGCATAAAATTAGCTTTAAGCTATATGTATGAAACACATGTGAATTTCATGTTTGGACTTGGCTCCCCTTTCTAAGATACCTCACGATGTATATCCAAATACTCTAAAATCTGAAAAAATGTCTAAATCTGAAACACTTCTGATCCCAGGCATTTTGGAAAAGGGATCCTTGAACCTGTATGATGTAACATGATGTTAAGATTATTTTTCTTCACCTTCCTACCTGTCTGGTCCTCTCCCATTTTTACGTTGGCACATTCTGTGACATGTTCTCCATCTTGGGACTCCTGGTCTCGTGATTTTTCTGTTTTATTGGGTCCCAGAATAGCATCCAACTCAGTAAAAAATTTCATACTCTTAGTCATGCCTAGATCTTGAGCTGTTCTTATGATCTTGTATTCATGTTTTAGGTTTTTGTACTTTGTTCTGCACTGTTTCCAGTCTCTCTCTATTCCAAATTTCTGAAGCTTGGCCGCAATTTGTTCAAATATCCTCTTATTTCTCACTGTTCCCTCTAGTTGTCGTTGTATGCTTTTATCAGACCAGATGTCTATTAGAGCCCTGACTTCTCTCACAGTCCAGTGCTTTCCTCCTTCATTTGCTACAGTTGGGATAAAAGTTGTATTATTAGAGGGTTCCAATACTGACGTAGAGATACCTGCATTAGGTAGAGAGGTAAAAGACATATGCATTATATACATCAGACAAGGTAAATAATTGGATGCAACATTATTAAAGAAAGCAGTTTCCTCCATAGGAGATGGAGTAACAAATCATAGCTTAGCTTTTCTCTTAAACAGTGGGGAAACAAATTCAGAACCTAAAGCTGTCCATTATTATGCCAGTTACTGGCTTTAATAAAGTTGTGGCTTTTTAGTCACATTTTGATCATCTTTCCTCTATATCATTTTTTTCTCTTCCATATCACTCCTTTACTATGTAGGGTGTATATCAGTACATAGTGGAAGTTCAATATTTAAATGTGTAGCATTTACTGTAGAAAACAGTAATTATGTAAGAAAATGACTCATTGTAGATAATTTGTTTTGAAATAGGATAGGTACAAAGAATTTAACTCCTTTCTTTATCTTGTGATTTTCTTTGGCTATGTATCAGTCTACTGGGAAGCATTTAAAAACTACCACTCTGGTACCTGCCTCATCCTTCATCCCCAGATTGTGACCTAATGTGTAGTCAGAGTTGAGAACTGAGGCTACTCATGAGCTGAGGGCTTGGAAGAGTCACACGGAAAAATCAGTGTTTATGCCTTGTGAAAATTACAGAAAGACTAAAGCCATTTTAAATGAAGTATTTTCTTTCAACGGTAGGGAAGTGTGTCAGAAATTTCATAATGCCTTGTTCCTAGGCAGTATGTCTCCACTTAGTTATAAATCCTTTAATATGCCATGGTGCGTATTAGGTCTCTAGAACAGTTTTATACTTCATTTACATTACTGACAGGTACCTGACTTTATATTGGTTATTTTGACAACCATATTATCTTGTGCTTTTCTCAGATTTCATTTTCATAAAAGAAGTAGGTTCATTTTTTGAATTATAAAATTACAAGCACATTAACTTTGGTTTTTGTGGGTTTTTTTTTTTTTTTTTTTGAGACAGGGTTTCAAATTGGATGTAATATTATTAAAGAAAGGAATTTTTGGCTGGGCATGGTGGCTCAGGCCTGTAATCCCAGCACTTTGGGGTACCAAGGCAGGTGGATTGCCTGAGCTCAGGAGTTGGGGACCAGCCTGGGCAACAGGGCAAAACCTGTCTCTACAAAAAAATGCAAAAATTAGCCAGGCTTGGTGGCATGTGCCTGTGGTACCAGGTGCTTGGGAGGCTGAGGTGGGAGGATTGCTTGAGTCCAGGAGGTGGAGGTTGCAATAGGCTGAGAATACACCACTGCACTCCAGCCTGGGTGAAAGAGTGAGACACCGTCTCAAAATAAGATAAAATAAAATAAAATTTTTTAAAAAGAAAACAATTTTCTTTCACCAAGGCTAGAGTGTAGTGGAGAGATCACCGCTCATTGCAGTCTGAACCTCCCAGGCTCAAGCGAGCCTCCAGAGTAGCTGGGATCACAGGCACAAGCTACCGTGCATGACATTAACATTTTGTTTGCATTGAAAATAATCTTCAGCCAGGTGCGGTGTCTCACGCCTGTAATCCCAGCACTTTGGGCAGCCAAGGCAGGTGGATCACGAGGTCAGGAGGTCAAGACCATCCTGGCCAACGTGGTGAAACCCTGTCTTTACTGAAAATACAAAAACTAGCTGGGTGTGGTGGTGCGTGCCTGTGGGGCTGAGGCAGGAGAATCGCTTGGACCTGGGAGGCGGAGATAGCAGTGAGCCGAGATCTCACCGTTGCACTCTAGCCTGGCGACAGAGCGAGACTCTGTCTCAACATAAATAAATAAATAAATAAATAAATAAATAAATAAATAAATAAATATCTTCAAATTATACCCAAGATTAATCATAATTTATTTTGTTTCTTTCATTTTTTTTTTCCCTAGACTCTGCTGCACAGGCTCGAGTGCAGTAACACAGTCATGACTCACTGCAGCCTTGAACTCCTGGGTTCAAGTGAGCCTTCCTGCCTCAGCCTCACAAGTAGCTGGGACTACAGGCATGAACCACTGACTGCACCTGGCCTATTTTTAATAATTTATTAGGCATGGCGGGGGGTCTCTCTCTGTTGCCCAGGCTAGTCTTGAACTCCTGGTCTCAAGTGATCCCCCACCTTGGCCTTCCAAAGTACTGGGGTTACAGGTGTGAATCACTGTGCCTGGCCATAATTTAAAATTAAATATTAAATTAATGGTTCAGTAATATTTAATTGAGATTAGGTTTTGGCCCCTATCATACAAATGATATTACAATTAAGAACTTTTATCAGATTCACGAGTTTTAAGTCATTGAAAAAAACTTTATAGCATTTATTTGAGATATTTTGTGGTATATTTAATGTCTTTGCTTTGAAATGCTTTTCAGAATTTTTTTTCTTATTTGGGTTACAAATAGGTTTTTCTATCATTTAAGTTAGAAGTAAGGTTTTTGCTTCTAGCTTCAATAAGAAATTAGAAGCAGCCGGGTGTGGTGGCTCATGCCTGTAATCCCAGCACTTTGGGAGACCTAGGCGAGTGGATCACCAAAGGTTGGGAATTCTAGATCAGCCTGGCTAACATGGTGAAACCCCGTCTCTACTAAATATACAAAATTAGCTGGGTGTGGTGGTACGCGCCTGTAATCCCAACTACTCGGGCGGCTGAGGTAGGAGAATCGCCTGAACCAGAGGCAGAGGTTGCAGTGAGCTGGGATCATGACAGTGCATTCCAGCCTGGGCAACAGAGTGAGACTTGGTCTCCAAAAAAAAGAAAAAAGAAAAGAAAAATAGAAGCGAAGAAGGATTTACACTGAATCCTTGACCTGGTTGTGGCTCTGATGTTTACTTTCAAACGTAAAATTCTGTTTGTCTTAACCCTTGCCACTAAAGTGATCATGTGCATTACTATGTGTAAGTCTAGCCATCAGATTTCTTACATTTAAAGAGTAAAGTTTGGAAATTAGAGAACCTGTATTTCTAGGAAACTTAAATTTGGTAAAGAATCATTTGCTTTAGAAATAATTTTTTTCAGTATGGGTTGGCAAAAAGGGAGGAAAACATAAATTAATTCTGAGTGTTTCTTCCAGGAAAAATTGTCAGTTTTCTCAGATTAGAAACCAGTCTTATCTTCTAGTTTGAAATTAGATCAGTTTCATTCTGTCCCACCCATTATACTATACCTAGTTCCATTGGTCTGACATGAGAAACCAGAAGTAAAGGATTTCCTGAGACATCTTCCTTATCTTCTGATGCAATTGACATTTTACCTGGAAATATAACAGAATTCCTTTTAGAAATAACATAACTGATAATCCTAATAGCTTTAGCTAAATGTGATCATATTCTTCAAAATAGATTTGTGATAGACATTTTGTAATAAAGTTGTATAATATAGTTTAAATATTTATGTATTTAAAGAAAAATCCAATTTTTGCCATCCAATATAGACATGGTCTATTTTGAATTTCTGCTAGAATTGTTTGGTAATTTTGTAAGTTTTTAGAAACAGTTGTAGTTAGTTTTCAAGTTAAATTACTTTTTTTTTTTTTTTTTTTTTTTTTTTTTGAGACAGAGTCTCACTTTGTTGCCCAGGCTAGAGTGGAGTGCAGTGGTGTGATCTTGGCTCACCGTAACCTCTGCCTCCTGGGTTCAAACAATTCTCCTGCCTCAGCCTTACAAGTAGCTGGGATTACAGGCATCTGCCACCACACCTGGCTAATTTTTGTATTTTTAGTAGAGACGAGGTTTCACCATGTTGGCCAAGCTAGTCTCGAACTCCTAACCTCAGGTGATCCTCGGCCTCCCGAAGTGCTGGGATTACAGGCGTGAGCCACCGTGCCCAGCCTTACATTTTTAAAAAGTGATGTTTTATTTATAATTGTATCTTGGGTGCTCTAACAGAGTAGGCACTTGCTAAATAATACCAGTAATGTAAAAGAGTGGGTCCTGCAATGAGATAGATAATTAGAAAGTGCTGTTTTTTTGGCATATATGATCAGATAGCTTAGAGTTTTTAAGTATCTTATATAATTTATTGATTGATACATACTAAAGTTTCCAGAAGTTAATCTAAATTATGTTTAAATGGATTAAGGAATATGTCATTTAAAAGAACCATGCCAACCATAAAAACTGAAGTCCTCCTTTGATTTCCTCATTTTATGGTTTGGATGCTTTTATATAGGCTTTCATAAAATGAGGCATAGGCTACTTTTTAAAGTGATCAAATGAGGAGGATGAAGTACATCTTAGAAAGGAATCCAACTTATATGATTTTTAACTCAAATTGACACATGAAGATGAATTATAATTACAATGAAATTGCAGACTAATCGGGAGGTGGATAAGTATCGTTTGATTGCTCTTTCTAATGTTTAAATTAAAAATTTACTCATCTCATTAATCATTTCATTTCCAAATGTTTTTCCAGTTCTATTTTATTGAGTAACAAAAGTAGCGTTGTATTTTACATTAATAGATCAACTGTTAGGTGTGATTTTAGTGGCATAAACATTCTTTTAAAATCATGATTCACCATTACGTTTACAGACTTTCCCGTTGAAGAAAAAGAAAAGGTATGCTCTTTATCATCTTAAAAACTCTATTAGGGTTTCTATGTTAAAAAAGGAAAACAAATGAAAAATAAACATAAGTACAAAAGCACATCACTGCTTTCAGATGGCACAGTTGTATTTAACTCTCAAGGTAAAAATTGTTGAAAAATTTAAATCAGGTTTTATAATTGCTTTAGGCTAAAATGTTGTTGAGAAATGTTTTAGATTTGTTTGAAAATAGGAAAAATAAAAATCTGGAGTTATGTAAGAATTATCTTTAGAGAAACAGGGCCCAGGTTATTTAACACCTGAGCTTGAATATGAGAGCAGTAAAGAAAGGCAGGGTTTCTATTCTATTACCTGGTTTAGAGTCTAGATTTACCGCCATAGAAAAGAGTCTGGACCAAATATACAAATGATAGTGAAACAGAAAAGCTCTCTCTCCGACCTCTTCAGATAATTTTTTCCTAAGTTGCTCCTCATTCCACAGCATGAATCCTAAAACTGTAGGCAGAGGCTCTGGGGATTTTAAACTGAAACTCTTAAATCATTACTTGAGATGCATTTATATAAAATAAAAGGAGTGAAATAGAGGGAAAACTTGACCACTGAAGGAATGTGGTTTGGCAGCTGTAGGCCAAAGGAATTCTGAGGCTGAGGATGATCAGATTTAGCAGAACATGAAGCCTCGTAGAGTTGGTCAAAAGTGTATTTGGGTCCTTTGCCATGGCTCTGGTCCTGGCTACTTGCTGCCTAACAAGCAGCCTATCCCTACCACTTGCATGAGGTTGATCCCAACAGTGGAAAAGGCACTTCCATTTTCTTCCCTTCTTCCATTTATCACACACCAATAAAAATTCTGCTGGTTCGGCCATAGGAAAAACCAGAAAACATTATATAATGAATCAAACCTGGTGCAAGGAGGGCTTCTTAAGCCTTAGGGAAAAAACTTTGATTACCTTAAAAAGTTTTGGATTCTGCAGATCAAATAAATCGTAAGGCAAGAAAATCACGCAAATTTCTAAGACCTCAGTTGACATGAACGGTCAATTTGTAAAAGTGAATAAATGTATAGAAAAGTGTTCCACCTTACTGGTAATTAAACATGCAAATTAAAAGTTACCAATTTGTATATCATTATAGGCCATTGTTTCTTAAATTAGCCTAAATCGTTATTTATTTTATTTATTTATTTTGAAATGGAGTTTTACTCTTGTCACCCAGGCTGGAGTACAGAGGCATGATCTCGGCTCACTACAACCTCTGCCTCCTGGGTTCAAGCAATTCTCCTGTCTCAGCCTCCCGAGTAGCTGGGATTACAGGTGCCCACCACCACACCCAGCTAATTTTTTGTATTTTTAGTAGAGACAGGGTTTCACCATGTTGGTCAGGCTGGTCTTGAACTCCTGACCTCAGGTGATCCACCCTCCTCAACTTCCCAAAGTGCTGGGATTATAGGCATGAGCCACCACGCCTGGCCTAAATCACTATTTACTTATTAAATTTGGAAAGTCTGTTCTTCCCATCAATACTCCATAATTTTGCATGACAATGGTTCTACATAAGGGACATTCATGCCTAGTGAAGTACAGTTATTTTGGAAAGCAGTTATTTTAGAAATAATGTTTCAAAGTAATGGCCAGGCGGGATGCCTAAGGCCTGTAATGCCAGCACTTTGGAAGGCCACGGTGGGCAGATTCCTTGAGGACAGGACTTCGAGACCAGCCTAGTCAACATGGTGAAACCCTGTCTCTACTGAAAATACAAAAACTAGCTGGGCATGGTGGCGTGCGCCTCTAATCCCAGCTTGGGAGGCTGAGGCAGGAGAATCGCTTGAACCTGGGAAGCAGAGGTTGTGGTGAGCTGAGATTACACCACTGCACTCCAGCCTTTTTGACAGAGTGAGACTCCATCTCAAACACAACAAAACAAAACGAAAAACCCAAAACAAAACAACAAAAAAACCAAAGTAATTATATCCTTCTGAATCAGTATTAGGACTTGTGTCCTAAAGTAATAATACTAAAAATGGACAAAAGTTATTAATTGCAGTATCATTTGCCTGAGGGGGGTGAAGACCCACACTCAGTTAAATATTATGGAACCATTAATTGTAATATTTAATTTTAGATCATGATTAATCTTGGGTATAAAGATTATTTTTAATGCAACCAAAATATTAATGTGCTTTTAATTTTATAATTTAAAAATGTAAAAAACAACTAGTGGTATTGTGGAAAGTATATGGGAAGAGGCTGAAAACCAGGGAGCCCAGTAAAGAGGTTACATTAATATTGTATATGAGAGATGAAGAAGTTCTGGTTAGTCGTAATGAGAATAGAGCAGAGAGAAAATTTTATGTAGTATGTCAGCAGATTTTTTAAAGACTTAGTGACTGGCCAAAAATCAAGGATATCTCAAATGTTTCTGTATAAGTGATTGGAAATGTAGTGATGCTAAGGTGGAAGCAATTTGTAGGAGGATCAAATTCGGGCTAGATGTGGTGGATCATGCCTCACTTTGGGAGGCCGAAGCAGGAGAATCTCTTGAGCCCAGGAGTTTGAGACCAGCCAGGGCAACATGGTGAAACCCATCTCTACCAAAAATACAAAAAATTAGCCAGGCATGGTGGGTCATGCCCCATAGTGTCAGCTATTCAGGAGGCTGAGTTGGGAGGATCATTTGAGTCCTGGAGCAGTGAGCCAAGATCACGCCACTGCATTCCAGCTTGGGTGACAGGAATGAAACCCTCTCTCTTAAAAAAAAAAAAAAAAAAAAAGTTGATGGGAGAAGAGAGAGTTTGATTTTGGAATTGGGGGTTTGAGGTACCTAAACGTGCATAGTTAAGTTGTAAGTATAGTCCCTCTGTTTATGAGTGAAAATGAAGGAGTTTGGAGCCAAGGGAATACCTGAAAGGGCTGAAGATCCCTTTAAGAAGTGGAGATACTGGCACCCACATCTTCATCAGACCAACTCCTGGTTAAAATCGGGGACTTTCAGAAGCTAAGTGATTTACTTATTTATTAATCAATATTTAAAGCACTTAAATAATGAAGAGTGGAAGGTGTTTAATTGAATAAAATAATGTAATTGCTGTTTAATATGGTAATAACCGCAAAGCTTTCTCAGAATTTGGTGTCATCTCAGAAATGGAAAGAATGTAGGCAGGGTGGATTCTTCTTTTAATGAAATGATTTGTTACTGAGCTGTAAACATGAAAATTAGCTAACTTAAGTTAACCAGTTGTAATCTTTGTCCTCTTAACCCAATTCACATTTGGTACTTTTATTATACTATTTACTATTTTCTCTCAGGTGTTAAATTTATTTGCAGTTCTGTCCTTTTTGAGGTTTCACATTACTAAATGTATATAGCTTAGTGCTTTGCCCATGGTATACACAGATAGTGGGTGTTACAGATTTTTGAATAATTCTGCTCTTAAAAATAGCATCTGTAAGATTTAGACTATGGTAGAAATCTTATTACTGTCATTGATTTCCCTCCCTTTGCCTACTAATGTTTCCACAGACAGTGAGCAGATTCTATGTAAGTAGTATTGGGTTTAACAACACAGTGCGTCAAGAAACTCCTCTAAATCACTTAGTCTAAGATCATTTAATCTATTACATCTTCGTGATACTTTATTGTTAAAATGGAGCTGTTCTTCTTCATTGTTAAAATGGAGCTGTTCTTCGAAACAAGTAATGAAATAGTGTTGAACAGTTATTTTAAATGTGCTTTTATTTATCAATTTAGGAAAATGGAAGCAAAATAAAGGAGAAAGTTCTTGTTTGGAGCTGTGGAAAAACATTAGTTAATTAATGTTTTTGATATTTTTCCCCCTTTTTGCCACTCTTACAAAATTAAAACTTAAACAATTTTTAGAACCCAATCCATATTTCAGAAACATCACATGCAGTTGGCACTAGCAGTCGGTGCCATTGTAATGTGCTTTTTCTGTATTTTATAGATTTTTTTAAAGTAGTAATATTTAACCTCTTTTTAAAAAAAATTAATTCTTAACCTTGTGCAAAATAGCATAATAAATTGGTTATTCTTCCTCAGTCTTGACATTTCAGTCTATATTTATCATATGGCCTCAGAAGTCTTGAACTTTTACAGTTTGTAAAACTGTAAAACAAAACAAAAACAAAAGAGTACTTTTTTTTTTTTTTTTTTTTTTTTTTTTTTTTACCTTCAGTGGTCTCTGGGGCTGTACTTGGGCTGAGCGTTTCCAGGTACCTGCCATTTGCATCTTCCTCTGTAAATTGTGTGGCAGGTTCATACTGCAGGATTACATCCAAATCGTGGAAGAACTTCATAGTTTTAGAGCTGTCTCCAGAGTTATGGGCATATTTAACTGTTCTGTATTCATATTTGAGATTTTTGTACTTAGCCCGGCACTGTTTCCAGTCTCTGTATACTCCTAATGATTGCAGCCTTTTAGCAATGTAAATAAATATTCCTTTATTTCTTAGTGTTCCATAAAGTTGTTTTCGTATATTTTTTTCTGCCCAGACACTTAGCAAAGCTTTAACCTCCTCCTCAGTCCAGTGCTTTCCTGCTCCACTCTCCATGTTGAAAGTGACCTGGAAATGATTCACTATTTCTAGCCAAGGTTTTGTTTCCTAGGAAACCAGACGGCTGGTTGTCAATAAGCTCTGAAGAGCTGAAAGGATCTAGTTTAACTGGTTCAAGCTGCCTGAGGGAGTAACTTGAGAAACTGCCAAATAAGCAGGCTTTGTGATTAAAGAAGCCTGGACCTAAATGATTTTTAACCATATTCATTTCAGCTTGAAGGAAGAACTACCCTTGAGACAAAAGGGAAAGAAAACCGTTTTTTGTGTATTTCTTTTCTTTCATAATTTACTGTTTTACCAAATGATTGTTGATTTTTAAAAATTGTTTTGAAAATGGTTGGCAGAGGTTTTTTCCCAGAGGTTTATAACCATTGTTAATAATATATTTCCACTGACATGAATCACCTAGTCCTCTAACATTGGTTAACTTACAGACCCCATAGCATTTCACTAAATAAAAGAAATCATAAGTCATAATTTATTTAGTCCCATATGGTATATAGTATTATGCATATCTATTTTCAGTATTTAATACATTTAATAAAATCAGTTCTTGAGGCTGCTCTGAGCTGTGATCATGCCAAGTGTTTTTTAGAGTTTTACTTGGCAACGTATTTAATGTTATAGTTTTTCTCATTAATAAAATGCTGCAACAATTGCAATATATAATTTTGAAAAAGGTTCCTTTTTACCAAATAAATCAATGTATTAACAGCCACTAAAGTCTACAGGCACATATGGAAGAGGTTTACTTTTTGTTTCTATCCTGATATATATGTTCTCTGGAACAAAAATTGGTCAATAAACATCTACTATTTATAGCACTTGTTCAGAACTATTAAAAATTGTAAAGCAGTTGGAACCTTTATGAGAGTTTATACTGCACAGCGGTATGGATGCTCTTAGTCTTTACTATGTCTTTAGATTTTGACTGTTTTCTCTGTATCACCACTTAAAAACACTAATGCAGGAAATGAGACACAGACATGGGAAAGGGTGCCTGGTCAGCAGAGGGTTTTCAAAAACAACATTTTTTTTTTCTAATAATAAAAGTGCTATTTATTGGAGAACATTTGGAAAATGCAGAAAGGCACAAAAAATGGTGATAGTTTCAGTACCAGCTACACATTTTGCCTCTATTATATTTGGAGGTTTTAATTTATATCTACATACTCATCCTGTTGAAACCCTATTTAGAGGTTATAAAGTGTAGAGGTTAGAAGCATAAATTCTGCAGCTGGGTTGTCTGTATTCGAATCCTGCCTGTACCACTTGCTGTCTGTTTGGCAATGGGAAAGTAACTTCTTTTCTATTGCTTTAGTGTGTTTATCTGTAAAATGGGCGTGGTAATCATAGTACCTACTTCATAGGATTGTTGTGAAAGCCAAATTAGATCACTCATGCTATCAACTTAAATAATTAAAAGGATCAGAATCTAGTTTAAAGAGAGTTTATTCACGCGCCAAGTTTGAGGATGACTCACCTGGAAACACCAACTCCAAGGAATGGAGTCAGCATTGAGAAGTAGGAAAGTTAAGGTTTCATTTCTATAGGCAGACAGAGGAGTTTTTAGCAGAATCACAACATTTTTTATACAAGGTTAGCGCCCAGTTACAGCAGTTTGATTGGTTATAGGTGGTGGTTCTTTTGGGGAAGGGTACCTTTAACATTTTTTACGGAGGATGTAATTGTGAATGGGTTTTCTTTCATTTGGTCTATGCAGCACAGCAAAGCAGAAGTTATCCTTTTTTTTTTTTTTTTTTTTTTGAGATGGATTCTCCCTGTGTCACCCAGGCTGGAGTGTAGTGGTGCGATCTCGGCTCACTGCAAGCTCTGCCTCCTGGGTTCACACCATTCTCCTGCCTCAGCCTCCCGAGTAGCTGGGACTACAGGCGCATGCCACCACACCCGGCTAATTTTTTGTATTTTTAATAGAGATGGGGTTTCACCGTGTCAACCAGGATGGTCTCGGTCTCCTGGCCTTGTGATCCACCCGCCTCTGCCTAGAAGTTAATCTTTAACAAAGGTCATCACTTGAGAAGGCAGGATGTTATCACCTCTGTTGTCTTTTTTTTTTTTTTCTTCTTCTTCTTGGTTCACTGCAACCTCCGCCTCCCAGATTCAAGCGTTTCTCCTGCCTCAGCCTCCTCAGTAGCTGCGACTACAAGCGTGTGCCACCAGGGCCAGCTAATTTTTGTATTTTTAGTCGAGACAGGGTTTCACCATGTTGGCCAGGATGGTCTCCAACTCTTGACCTCGTGATCTGCCCGTGTCGGCCTCCCAAAGTGCTGGGGTTACAGGCGTGAGCCACCGCGCCCGGCCGTCTCTGATGTCTTTTAATTCTCTCTAGTCATTGTATAGAACAAGAAAAATAAGAAAGTGAGTTAATCTATAGTCTGAGAAACAGAAGTTGTAACCATATGTGACTTGGATCACAGTCATATCTCTCTCAAGGCCTAAAGTATATTTGGGGTTCCAGTAGGTTTTAAATTATTTATTTTTACAGCGTAAAATGCTTAGGACATGTTAGTTAGAATTAGATATCTAGTTGTTACATTGTCATCTGCTGTGATTGCTAATCATCAGCATCAGCATCATCAATAGGAGTAGTACTAGTACAAGTAGCATTTAATATGTTGTCACACTAAGTTCATGGGTGCTTGTCGAGAAAGTATGCTTGATAAAGTTCTTCAAGAAGCTCATCAATTGGCAGATTTAACAGCTAATATCTTTTTATATTCACAGGGGTCAGGAGAGTGCCGGTATTGTGACTAGTGACGGGAGTTCAGTGCCAACATTCAAATCACACAAGGTAAATTTGAACTTTAAGAAATCTTGATGACAGGCTGGGTGTGGTGCTTCATGCCTGTAATCCCAGGACTTTGGGAGGCCAAGGCAGGAGGATCACCTGAGGTCGGGAGTTCGAGACCAGCCTGACCAACATGGAGAAACCCTGTCTCTACTCAAAATACAAAATTAGCCAGGTGTGGTGGCGCATGCCTGTAATCCCAGCTACTTGGGAGGCTGAGGTAGGAGAATTATTTGAACCTGGGAGGCGGAGATTGCGGTGAGCCAATGTCACACCATTGCACTCCAGCCTGGGCAACAAGACTAAAACTACGTCTCAAAAAATAAAATAAATAAATAAATAAGTGAAAGAAATGGGATGACAAAGATAACAAAAGACAGGTGATCATTAATATGGGGGGGGGGTTGAATAAATAATTCGCAGTCAAAAGTGATATTCTTTGGATCAGCCACTTTCAACTTTATATCCTAACATTTATCAAATTAGGATGTATTTCTTCCCCAGTGACAATTTTTTGCCTAAGACCAACTCAAATAGGGAGTCATTTATTTAAATGCTTTAAGATGCTTTGATTTGTTTAATGCAAATCTTAGTTTTTATGCTTGACAAATTGTATTGCTTAGTACATCTGTTCTTAAATGTTTTAGTGAATAGTATCTTATGAAACACAAGTGCTTCAACATTGTGAAGGTATTAAATGCCACTAAATTTTTCTCTGTAGAATGGTTAATTTTATGTTATGTGACTTTTGCCTCAATAAATTTTTTTAAGTAAGTGCTTCACAGTTCTTACAGTTAGGTTATTTGTTTTTGGCCTTTTTTTAAGATTAGAATTCTGAAACACAGAGAAATTAAATGTACTTCTTTGTCTTATTTGGATTGGCTGAGCAGAGAAGAGAGGCGTTTATTACTAGCAGTACTAGTCTGTTTTTTTCTAAGTTGCACTTTTTGATTTCTCAAGGGAATGGGTCTTGTAAATCACGTCTTTACTGAAGACAATTTGAAAAAATTGTATGTTTCAAATCTTGGAATTGGACACACAAGATATGCCACTACAGGAAAATGTGAATTAGAAAATTGTCAGCCCTTTGTTGTTGAAACACTTCATGGGAAGATAGCTGTGGCACATAATGGCGAATTGGTAAATGCTGCTCGATTAAGGAAAAAGGTACATTTGTTTGTTTGTTTTCCCTAAGCCTTTTTAAATGATTAGCATGGGTTAATGAATAAAAGTTAAGGATCTTTGTAAAAGGCATTTTCTAATTGTTGCTACCTGTTACCTAACTGCAACAACAATTGCATCAGAATGATCTGGAGTACTTGTTACAATTCCAGATTGTAAGATGTCCCCTAGAGTTGGAGACAAGGGTGAGAATATGCATTTTAGACTCACTTTTTGAATGCACTGCTCTAGAGATTTGGGAGAGTTGATTTATGGTTGGAAGCATAGAGAAATTAGAGTTTATGGACTTGCTATCTCTTTAACTCTGTTGCTATGTACAAAGCTCGTATGAAATAAGAAAAACCAAGCGTTTTTCCTATTCTCAGACTCAGCACACTTCTGTGGCCAAATAGGGGGGTTTCTTGTACCAGCCAATTTTCCAGAGGATACGAAATGGGTATCCTATAATTCAGTTGTATTCTGATAGTACCTGGAGGTAAAGTCAGGTTCCAGAAGTTAAGGGCTCAATCCCACAAGATTGTCCCCCACTTCAGATGCTAGTTGCAAGTCCAGGCCTCTGGTACATCTGACAACCAGTTATAAATTGGGAGTTCCTGCAACAGCCCTGGCACTGCCTTTGGTTTCAAACATCACAAAACTCAAGAAAGTACTTTGTATACATTTACCAGTTTATTATGAAGGATGTTACAAAGGCTACAGAAGAGCGGTCTGGTGAAAAGATGGAAAGGGCAGGGTATGTGGGAACGAGCATGGAGCTTCCATGCCCTTTCCAGGGGCACCACCTTCCAGGCATCTCCAACTGTTCAGCTATCCAGAAGTTCTCTGAACCTAGTCATTGTGAATTTCTATAGAGGCTTCATGAAGTAGGCATGAATGATTAAATCATCAGCCACTGGTGATCAGCTTAACCTTTAGCCTTTCTCCCCGAAGCTGGAAGCTCCAACCCTCTGGTTGATTCCCCTGGCAACCAGCCCTCATACTGATGCTATGTAGGAACCCCTAGCTACCGGTCATCTCAACAGCATACAAAAGGACACTTATCATTTTGGCAATTCTAAGGGTTTTAGGAGCTGTGTACCAGGAAAGACCAGGATAAAAATCAACATATATATTTCTTCTTATATGTCACAAAATCATAAAAATAAAATGGAGTATAAACTTGGAGATGACATAAAAAAATGAATTGGAAACAATGACAGAAAACTAGAGTATGGGAAAAGGGAGAGAGTGTTTAAACTCTTGGTTCACAGCATGTTGTTTGGAGCTTTCTGTGCTAATGATGTCAAATTTGTGCCTATGCTTTCATTCATCATTTTATCTTTTTTTTTTTTTTTTAAACTGCCTGTCTTTATATTCATTCCTAGTAGCTTCCTTTTATCCATTCAGGCATTCATTCATTAATGTTGAGTTTCTTCAGTTTATTAGCTCCCAATCATCTTGACTTGGTAACCTCAGAACCTGGTGTTATTTAGTAATAGATTGTTACCCACATGCTCCATCATCCTATAAGCATTCTAGAGCTGGGCAATTCACATATGATGAACAGTTACAGAAGCTGAATAATAATGAATTGCCGGGTCAAAAATATCTAGAAACTAGGCTTTTGTACCATTCATTGTCATTCTATTTTCAGTTCTGTCTTTAGACATTTCCTAGAGCTTTGTCCAGCCCTGTTTGTAGGCATTATAATGACCTTATTGTGCTTTTCTGTCCCCAAATGAAAAAATGTATAGTTCATTTAAAAATTCAGACAATCATGAACGTATAAATATGGAGTAAAAATTTCTTAAAAATTCACCACTTAGAGATAACCACTAACTCACCGTTTCCTGACATTACCCCTTACCCAGATGCTAAACTTCATCTCTACTTTTAGCTCCCTACTGAAAATGTTCTGTAGTGCCCATTCAGACTCAATCTGTGCATGTCCATGGGGCTGCCCTTGTCCTGGTCAGTCTTGCTCAGAACTTTGTAATTGTCATAGAGTACACTCAAGCGATATTTATTGCATCTGCTACATTTCGTTGTTCAATACAGTTGATTCCTTTCTTCTATCAGTAATAATTAGTGAGGATGGGTAGCCACCATTATGATCACTAACAAACCCAGCTTGAAAGTTAACACTGTAGTGTACTACTTTTATAGGAATATACCCAGTTCATCAAGAGTGTTGAGGGTAGAAAAGGTCAGACCCACTAACCAAATTTTCAAGATCCCCTACCCACTTTCAGGTCTGCATGCCTTCAAATTTAGTATTCAAAAGCTTTTCTATACATCTCAAAGCACTTTTTTTTTCTGCTTGAAAACCTTCTAGATTTCTTATATTGCCTCCAGCCATGGTCATCCGTTATTAGTATACACATACCATTAATGTAGGAGTCCCCAACCCCTGTGCCAGGGACTGGTACCAGTCTGTGACTTGTTAGGAACAAGGCCACACAGCAGGAGGTGAGCAGCAAGTGAAGCTTCATCTGTATTTATAGGTGTTCCCCATTCCTCACTATTACCACCTGAGCTCTGTCTCCTGTCCAGATCATCAGCAGCATTAGATTCTCATAGGAGCATGAACCCTGTTGTGAGCTGTACATGCAAGGGATCCAGGTTGTGCTCTCCTTAGGAGAAGCTAATGTATAATGCCTGATGATCTGTTACTGTCTCCCATCACCCCCAGATGGGACTGTCTAGTTGCAGGAAAACAAGCTCAGGGCTCCCACTGATTATGATGAGTTGTATAATTATTTCATTATATATTACAGTATAGTAATAATAGAAACAAAGTGCACAATAAATGTAATTCGCTTGAATCATCCCCAAACCATCCCCTGTCCCTGGTCCATGGAAAAATTGTCTTCCACCAAACTGGTCCCAGGTACCAAAAATATTGGGGACTGCTGCATTAGTGGGATGCAGGATTTTCATAGCTGGACATCCACAGAATGCCTTATTTCTTTCCATTATGGTTGGCTACTGGGTTTGGGGTGGGGTGGAGCTTCCCCTCTGATGATTAAACTTCTCCTTTTTTCTGTATAGCTTCTGCGTCATGGTATTGGTCTGTCCACAAGTTCTGATAGTGAAATGATTACCCAGTTACTGGCGTATACCCCTCCTCAGGAACAAGATGACACCCCAGACTGGGTAGCCAGGTAAGCAGAGAACTGGATTAAACTTGGAGCTCTAGTAAGGACAGTTTTGCCTTGCATATGTTTATAACTGAAGTTATTCATTATTTAATTAATTCCAGGATTAAAAATTTGATGAAGGAAGCACCCACAGCATACTCCCTGCTTATAATGCACAGAGATGTTATTTATGCAGTACGAGATCCTTATGGAAATCGTCCCTTATGCATTGGTCGTCTTATTCCAGTGTCTGATATAAATGACAAAGGTAATAAACTTCAGAAGGAATATCCTTTCATAATGTTTTTCAGTTATTGTCGTACTGCTATCAAGCCCTGAAATCTTTAGGTATAGAGAGTTGATGGGTGGGAGGGAGCTAAGTAATGAAATAATGGTAAATGTATTCTTCCTTTTTGAAGTATGTTTCTTTGAGTACTTCTGAGGATGAGTCCCATTTGTTTTTTGTTGTTGTTGTTTTTGTTTTGTTTTGTTTTTGAGACAGAGTTTCGCTCTTGTTGCCCAGGCTGCTGGAGTGCAATGGGGCGATCTCAGCTCACTGCAACCTCTGCCTCCTGGGTTCAAGTGATTCTCCTACCTCAGCCTCCTGAGTAGCCGGGATTACAGGCATGCGCCACCATACCCAGCTAATTTTGTATTTTTAGTAGAGACAGGGTTTCTCCGTGTTGGTCAGGCTGGTGTCAAACTCCTGACCTCAGGTGATCTGCCCACCTCAGCCTCCCAAAGTCCTGGGATTACAGGTGAGAGCCACCACACCTGGATGGATGAGTCCCTTTTAATGTTTTTAATGGAGATTCTTATTTTTTCCTGTCTCGATTGCCTATTCATGTCCTTTGCCTAGCTATTTCATTTCTGCAGTATGATTTTAGTGGTTTCTTTTGACTTTTATCAAGATGTTTTTCTAGCCGTGAAATCATAATGTTAGAAGGAACCTTAGAAGATCATTTATTTTATCTTTGGCTCAAGTCAAATGAGGATCCATGTGCTCTTAAAGCCACAGAAATGGCTATTCTATGAATTTTTTTTACTTACTTATTTAGTGTTAGCTGTTCTGTTGAAATAGCCTCTTAAAATTTCTTGAATCCATTAACTGAATTGATTTGTGATTTACAGAGAAAAAAACATCAGAAACAGAAGGATGGGTGGTGTCTTCAGAATCTTGTAGCTTCTTATCTATTGGTGCAAGGTAAGTTTTACCTTATTTGGCATATTATCTTTCCCCATGTTGAAAAGAATTTTTTTTTTGACACAGTTTCTTATTTACGTGAAAGTTTGAAAGTTTTCCTTCTGATATCTAATAGAAAATATTTATAAAGGGATTTTCTTATGCATGTTATGTTCAGCAGTTGCACTGAGTTTAATGTTCTAGTAATAGCTTCTAATTCTGACGCTGGCATTCTTTCAAGATACTATGAAACTTATTTTAATTATTTTGTATATTTTTCTCTTTTTACAGTACAATATGATCATAGAGACTTATTTTAGAAAGGAAGAACTTCCTCATTGAGATATAGCTATGATAGAAAAATGTAAGCCAGGAGAAAATGTTTTCTTTATACTTTATTCTTTTAAAATTCAATACAGCTTAGGGCCCTTAATTTTTCAATTCTATACTAGAACTTAGAGTTTACAGAGAGATTATACAGAAATCATTGCAGGAGACATACCACTTTTTAAAAAGCCACTTCTAGATTTTATATTGAATGAATCAATTGTTTCTCTAAGGGAAGGTACTCTATGTGCTTTATAATTAATGTTTTCATCAGCCTTAAGGACTAGTTTATTAAAAGTCTTCTTTCTTTAACATTGTTTCCCAAGATATTACCGTGAAGTCTTGCCTGGAGAAATTGTGGAAATATCCAGACATAATGTCCGAACTCTTGATATTATATCAAGGTCTGAAGGAAACCCAATGGCTTTTTGTATCTTTGAATATGTTTATTTTGCAAGACCAGACAGTATGTTTGAAGGTAAATAGATTTCTTTTCTTTGAATATTCATATACATGTTTTAGCTGTCTCCTTGAAATATGGCAATTCTTGCCTCAAAGGCTTACCTGGCTCTTCGAAGGCACATAGTTATATGTTGTGGATATAGGACTGAGCCCACAAGTCATAAGATCACAATTTTTTACTTCCTTTTGACTCTTGGATTTTGTTTTTTGTTAGGAGTAAGGATTATGATTTTTAGATCTATATGAAGGGTCAATTTTTTTTTTAAACCACACAGTTGAATTCCCTAGTTTGTGTATTTCCACATTCATATTTTTGTATATATTGCATTTCTTTTTATACTCAATCTGTAGAATTCTAGCACTAGTTTTTTAGAATAACACTGTTATATTATGCTAAGTAAAATACTCTCTCTCCTTTTCCAAACACACCAGACCAAATGGTTTATACAGTAAGATACCGTTGTGGCCAGCAGCTAGCGATTGAAGCACCTGTGGATGCAGATTTGGTCAGCACTGTTCCAGAATCTGCTACACCTGCTGCTCTTGCTTATGCAGGAAAGGTATTTTCTCTTAATTAACATGCAGTGAATTGCTCTCCTAGCTGTGGAATAAGAAATCCTTGCCTATAAAGAGAAACTCATCAACATTTCTAAGGAGAAAGGAAGGTTTGGTGGTTAATGTTGGTTTGTTTACAAGCGTTATTTATTTTCCAGGCTTTTTACCCAATGGCACTATTTTAGTGAAAACCACTAAAAGGTTCACTGAAAAGAAAAAACGTTCACTAAAGGGTTCAGAAATTTGCCCCCCTCTTTTTAAAAAGATAACATCATGAATATACAGTTGACCCTTGAACAATTTGGGGGTTAAAGGTGCCAGCCCTCTGCACAGTCAAATCTGTGTATACATTTTAATGCCCCCAAACTTAACTGATAACCTACTGTTGACTGGAAGCCTGATCAATAACATAAACAGTTGATTAACATATTTTGTGTATATATTATATACTGTATTCTTGCAATAACTTAAGCTAGAGAAAAGTAAATGCTTTGAAGAAAATCATAAGGAGGAGAAAATATATTTACTATTCCTTAAGTAAAAATGGATCTTCATAAAGGTCTTCATCCTCATTGTTGTCTTCACGTTGAGTAGGCTGAGGAGGGAAGAGGAAAAGAAGGGGCTGGTCTTGCTGTCTAAGGGTTGGCAGAGATGGAAGAAAATCCACCTATAAGTAGACTCATGCACTTCAAACCCATGCTGTTCATCAACTGTATATTGACTTCAGTGGAAAAATTTACTTAATATTAAAATAAACATCTTGAATCATCTTCGCAAGTCACTGGAATATTTGCTTGCTACTAAGTATGGGTAATAATAAAGCTGTTTATGTTCATTTAGCATAATGTTGTCAGTGTTATGCTTTATTTTCATAACCAGGTAGATTGTGTAACTATAGTAATCCTGGGGTATAACATCCAATATTCACTACCTTGGATACTTCATTAGCTTCTAAAATAATTAATATGCATACATTTTATAAAAGATTACCTTGATAAATGGGTTAATTACCTCCTATCCCTAAAAAGTATCTCATTAGTCTACTGGTTTTAATTTATTTAATTCATTTCTTTAAAAATTATTTTGGGCCGGGCGCGGTGGCTCAAGCCTGTAATCCCAGCGCTTTGGGAGGCCGAGGCGGGTGGATCACGAGGTCAGGAGATCGAGACCATCCTGGCTAACATGGTGAAACCCCGTCTCTACTAAAAATACAAAAAACTAGCCGGGCGTGGTGGCGGGCGCCTATAGTCCCAGCTACTCGGAGGCTGAGGCAGGAGAATGGCGTGAACCCGGGAGGCGGAGCTTGCAGTGAGCCGAGATCGCGGCCACTGCGCTCCAGCCTGGGCGACAGAGCAAGTCCGTCTCAAAAAAATAAAAATAAAAATTATCATTTTGAATAATGAATTTTTCTGACAGTGATTTAATCTTTGTCATGTCTTCATATGCTTAGTGTTATCTTTGAAAACAGGAATAATGTTTAAGACAAAAACATTATGAGTCCTCACAAAATGAATTGGTTTTTCCACCAAGTATATTTTGTTTAGTGGTTTTTCTTTTTGCCTTTTCTCCAAATAATAAAGGAAAATAATTTTGAAATTTCACTTGAATATTCTGGTGGCAACACAATCTAGAGAACTAATATTTGCCTGTTCTGTATATTGCTCCTCATTGTCCTTTCATTTCTTCTCTATCAGTGTGGACTTCCATATGTGGAGGTGCTGTGTAAAAACCGATATGTAGGGAGAACCTTCATTCAGCCAAACATGAGGTTAAGACAACTTGGTGTTGCAAAAAAATTTGGAGTATTGTCAGACAACTTTAAAGGCAAAAGAATTGTTCTTGTAGATGATTCAATTGTGAGAGGCAATACCATCTCACCTATAATAAAACTGCTCAAAGAATCTGGTGCAAAAGAGGTGAGTAATATTAAAACATATCCCAAAGCATCAGTTAACAATAAGATACTGGCATAAAATTGCAATTCAGGGTAGTGAATCAAAATGGATGTTCAATATAATAAATTAACTTTTTTATATCAGTTTGATTTAGGATTAACTGTGTAGCAACTTGGAGAACATGTAACAGCCACACTTTAAATGTAATCCTTAATAGATTAAAAAGCTCAATATAAAAGCTTAAGGCTGGGTGAGGTAGCTCATGCCTGTAATCCCAGGAGCCTGAGGCAGGAGGGTTGCTTGAGCCCAGGAGTTCGAGGACAGCCTGGGCAATATAGTGAGACCCTGTCTCTACAAAAATAAAAGATAATAGTAAAATTAAATTTAAAAAAATTAAATTAAATTTTAAAAAACCTAAAATTTTAACAAAAAGACTATACAAAATAGGCTGGACACAGCGACTTATGCCTATAATTCCAGCACTTTGGGAGGCTGAGGTGGGCAGATTGCTTGAGTCTAGTAGTTCAAGACCAGCCTGGGTGACATAGTGAAACTCGCCTCTCCTAAAATTACAAAAAATGGGTGGGGCGTGGTGGCACACACCTAAAATTCCAGCTACTTAGGAGGCTGAGGTGGGAGGATGGCTTGAGCCTGGGAGGTGGAGATTGCAGTGAGCCGAACCAATCTCAAAAAAAAAGTCTAAAAGCACAAAATAGAATGCTCTTTAAAATCAGTGGAGTAGTGATTGCTTTCTCTACTTGAAGACATGCAGCCAATTCCAGTGTAATACCTTTGACTTAATATTTTTTTAAATTTCTTTGTTAAAGACAGTGTCTGGCTCTGTTGCCTAGGCTGGAGTGCTATGGCACCATCTCAACTCACTGCAACCTCTGCTTCTGGGGCTCAAGCAATCCTCCCACCTTAGCCTTCTCAGTTTCTGGGACTATAGGCATGCGTCATTGCAGTCAGGCTAATTTTTGTATTTTTAGTAGAGACGGGGTTTCACCATGTTTCCCAGGCTGGTCTTGAGCTCCTGGGCTCAAGTAATCCACCTGCCTTGGCCTCCCAAGGTGTTAGGATTACAGGCATGAGCCACCGTGCCCAGCCAAGTTATTTTTTAATATCACTTTACGTCTTTTGTTTTTTCCTTGATACTGGGACTCAATGTGTCACCTGGTTGGAATGCAGTGGTTCGATCTCACCTCACTGCAACCTCTACCTCCTGGGCTCAAGCAATCCTCCCACTTCAGCCTCCCAAATAGCTGGGACCATAGGCACACACCACCATGCCCGGCTAATTTTTTGTATTTTCAGTAGAGGCAGTGTTTCGCCATGTTGCCCATGCTGATCTCAAACTCCTGAGCTCAGGCCATCCGCCTGTCTCAGCCTCCCAAGGTGCTTGGATTACAGGTGTGAGCCACCACACCTGGCCTCACTTTATGTCTTGAAAAAATTTTTTTTTAATTTTTATTATTTAAATTGATAAATGTATATATTCATTGTGCACAACATGTTTTTATATAGATATACTAAGTTATTTTAAGATTTCAAAGCTTATTCTATTTCATAGCTCATACTACAGAAGTGAGATGCCATTTACAACTAATAGTTGAGTAAATTTAAAAATAAAGTCTCAGCCTGGGCAACGTATAGTAAGATCCCATCTCTGAAAAATCAAAAACAAAATCTCACTGTAGAAGAAAGTGGGATGAAAAGCAGTATGCCAGTTTATTTAGAAAGTTTCCAAGATAATTGGGATTATGATTTTCCAGCCTTTTTTATACTTGTGTTTAGGATTATGATCATCTCACTCTGGAATTCTGTGGAAATTATGTAATAGATATAAGAGTTTAACATAATTGCATCATTTATTGCAACAGTGAAAAAGAATAAAGTCAAAGAACCTGGAAATGGCTTAAATATCTCCCGGTTGGAGAATATAATTTAGTAAATTGATATATCAGTGATTAAATATGATGCAGCCATTAAATAAGAAGACTACATAGCAAAAATGGGAAAATCTATTCTAATAAAGTTTAAAAAGGAAATGTGGACACTGAGTATAGCCATTTAAATGTACCTGATGAAAGGCAAAAAAAATAATAGTAACAGACAAAAACAACTCTGTTGTAGTAGTAAGGTTTTGTTATAACCTGGTAAATTGTATTTTTCTTTTTAAAATGGTAAGATAAGAGATAAGCAGAAGTACCCGGTATTACAAGAGAAAATCTAAGTGGCTCTAGGAATGTAAAGACATCAAATGAGAAGTAGGATATCTAGAGAAAGAAAATTCCTCATGATTAGGTGACAGAAAAAAAACAAGCAGCAGCTTTGTAGAAAGAATAGTTTATTACCCGTATGTTGTTACTGAATATTCTGCAAAACAATTTTATATTGTATTTGCACAATGAAAGAGAATTTTGCATAGTGTTACAAACCTTGTGTACAATGATTTCTTTCCAAGGTACACATTCGAGTAGCTTCACCACCAATTAAATATCCATGCTTCATGGGAATAAACATTCCTACAAAAGAAGAGCTCATTGCCAATAAACCAGAATTTGATCACCTTGCAGAATATCTAGGTAAGTATTAAAATTTCTATAAACTTTGATTATTAACAGAGAAAACCCAAAGCTTTACAGTCTTTACACCTTTAGTAAAAAGGAGTATTCAGTGTTTAAGTTTTTAAAGTTAAGCAGATATTGAATACTATTCTCAACAGTGAGAGTAGTTGGCATGGGGCAGACGCCATAGAGTCTTGTGTTGAAGAGCTAAGCCAAGGTGAGATCAGAGAAGGGAGAGGTGGTTTCCAGGTGGAGGGAAGTGCAAGCATATCACTTAAAACCTCCCAAAAGTCAGATCCCAAGAAAAACAAAAATAATTTAATCAGATTCTAACAGAGTAATTTGGATGTGGATACAAATCACAAAGTAAAAAGTTTGTGTAGGTTCATATTCAATAATGAGATAAGGAGACTTCGAGATCTACGTTTTCCTGGGTAAGACATCTTCCTTTCAAAATCAGGTGATGTATAAACTGTGGAAATAACACATGATATTTAGTCATTGTGCCTTGCTTCCTCTACACAAGGCAAGGCACAATGACTTGTTTGTGGCTGGTGTTTCTTTTAACCTGTCATGCACGTGCCTCACTGGTTAAATATTTTTAAATATCACCCTGATGGGTATCATACATGTTATGAGCACTCACACTTTGCCAGAAACTATACTGCCTATATTATTTGTATTATCATAACATCATAAAAACTCTACATTTAGGCAATGTTTCCACCATCTTATATAGATGAAAGAATAGACTTCGGAAAACTGAGTGAACTTGAGCTTAAATTTGAGCCTAGATCTTCCTGACTTTAAATTCCACTTTCTTAATTAAGAAAATTACTCCCAAAGCCCTCTAATTCCATTCTAGACTTGAAGCCTCCTCTGCTGTTTTAAATTATGTTATCCCCTAGATTCCAATTTAAAATTTTAAAAATAAAGGAACTGAGTTTTATTGACTTATTTTTTCCTTTTTTTTAAAGAAAGGCTAAAGGAGAAATTTTTATCCTAGGTTAAATTATTCTGTGTGTAACTATTCTCTGTTGAAGCATTTCTTCCTTTCTAAAGGAATTCTCATTACATTTTTACTTTTCCTTCTTTCTCCCTTTAGGAGCAAACAGTGTTGTGTATCTGTCAGTAGAAGGACTGGTTTCATCTGTACAAGAAGGGATAAAGTTTAAAAAACAGAAAGAGAAAAAGCATGATATTATGATCCAAGAAAATGGAAATGGCCTGGAATGTTTTGAAAAGAGTGGTCATTGTACAGCTTGTCTCACTGGAAAATATCCTGTAGAATTGGAATGGTAGCTGGTAGGGTTGGATGTGTGTAGTTTCAAGATAGAAAGTTGGTCAAGAAGTTATAGTGGTCACACCTCATCTATTTACTGTTACTCAGTTGGTACAATGTAAAATGCCATGCTTATGTTTACCTTTATAAGTTTGGAGATTTTTTTTTTTTTTTCTGAAAAGGATACCAAAGTGCGATAACTGAACATCTCTAATTGCATATAATACAACAACATGTGGTGTTCTTTTTTTTACACAAGCATCGGCTAGCCTTTTTTACCTGGTCAGAGAAGGCAGGTGGTCACTGACATTTGCCAAGTCCGTGCTTTAAAGGGTCTGCAAGAAGTTAGAGTTAAGGAGAAGTGACGCCAACAAGACAGTTCTGGCTGTAGTTATGACCTTGGTTTCCCTGTCTAACTGTAGACAAATCTTCAAAAACCAACAAACAAACAAAATATAATCTGTGGTGCCTCAGTTACCCCACATGTGCAATGGGATACTTATATTAGATTAAATAATAAGAATGTGAATAAGTGTCATACTTTTGTGATTTGAACCATCATTTCACCTCTGATTTTAAGATAGCTTATGACTGTTAGCTTTCGAAAAGCTAATGATTATTAACTTTTTGAAATTAGTTTACAATTAAGATTTCATTATGATGGAAGGAGACATAATTGGCAGATCTTTGCCATCTCTCTTTGAGATGTCCTAAAAAGGGTTGTAAAAATCTGTGAAAAAGTTTTTCTTACATTTGACTAGAAAATGTGATCCACAGTGCCCTGATACTATAAGCTCAGCAAGTAACCTGGTACATTTGAAATAAAAACTAGATTTTTAGATTCAAACAATCCCTTTATCCTTAATTATCATATGCTTTTTTAATGAAGTGCTTGATCACTTGCAAGCATATATACATGTAGATGTACATATGCATGTACACATAAACATTATTGCAATTAAGTGATCAAGTACAGACACAATAGGGGCCAGTTTTGTTTAAGGATCAAAGAGACAACCACTTTGGGGAATTAGTATCATCTTATAATCACTTTTTTCTACTTTATTAAGATCTAATGAGTTTGATTTCTTTTTTGAAGTTTTTTCTTGTAACATCTGAGATTTAGAAGTTTAAGATGATCCCAAACCTTTGTTTATGTAAGAATTTTTAAACATAAAAGTGTTTGTTTCTGTTATATTACCATAATTTGATGTATATAGTGTCCAGATCCATTTAGAAATTTAATATTTATTAATAACTGAAACTGTTTGTCTTCCTTTGGTATATAGTCTCACATATTATATTATAGCAGGCCAAGATAACATTTTGACAGCTCTTTAAGCCCACATGCAGCAGTGGGTCAGATAACCCTGTGGCAGTGACATGGGCAAATTGGCATTTGAATAAAGCCCTAGGACCACCTCAACATGTGCAGCCTCTTGTCTTAAATGTATTCCCCATGGCAGCATGGAGGAGGCAAGACCTGTGGGTCAATTTTGAACTGGCCTTAATTTGATTTTTAAAACACAAGAGACTCAGGGAAAGTACTAAACCAAAATCTCTGATTTTACTTTGCATTTTCTGTAGTTTTTGTTTTACTGAGATGCTTTTGTAAAGGAAAAATAATACTGTGACAGTTTGGTAATTCTACAGATTTCTTAATATTTCTCCATCATGGCCTTTTACTTCACAATTTTCTGAAGTCTGAATTCAATTACAATTTTTTTTTTTTTTACCAATTTAATCTCAAATGTTGTTTAACTGCTTTAAATTTATATACGTAGAGTATTAGAAACTGCAGAGATGAAAAATGTGTTTTCACGGGATTTATATTGTGAACTAAACTAAGCCTACTTTTTGTGACTTATTTGTGATGCCTTGTTGATAAATATGTGTAATAAGTATGTTTAAATATGTGTGTGCTTTTTTTTTTTTTAGCATGAAAACAACTTCTAGGCTCCATTCTTGGCACCACCTAGTCATATCTTGTTTCTCTGATCCAGGCATTTCAATAAATAGGCCATCTCTTATGAAACAGGCAAAACGTCTGGGTTGAGACAAAAATAATAGAACATATGAGGGGACCAAATAAAGTAATAGAAAAATGACACAAAAAAAAAAAAAAAAAAACAAGGCCTTAGTCCACTACTCGGAGTGAGCAGGAAGGCGTGAACGGAGCGAGTTGTAGTGAGCAAGATCACCACATCCAGTGGGCAGAGAACTTGTCTAAAAAAAAAAAAAAAAAAAAAAAAAAAAATGCAATACTAAAAAAGCACTACATCGTGGCAAGTTCCTTGGAAGCACTATGGGGAAAGAGGGAGTGTCATGGAAGAGCAGGATTAGATTCAAAGTGTTGGGGTGGGTAGGTACATGAATAGATAAACTGTAGTACATTCAGACAATAGAATATTATTCAGTGCTTAAAAGAAATGAGCAATCAAGCCATCAAATGACAGAGGGAACATAAATGCATATTAACTAAATGAAAGGCACCACTCTGAAAATACTACATACTTAATATTGAAGGTATCCAAAGAAAAAGTCTCCCATGTTAAGGATAAACTGGTCACAGACAGGAAAGATTACTAGTAGGGCACCTGCCAGTGTTAAGAAAATTTCTGTGCAACTAGGTAAACCTTGGTCGCTGGACTGGATCTTTAATTCTTCTAGGTTCCTCCAATCCAACATTCTTCCATAGAATTACTAAAAATGAGACTTGCTATGTTCTTAAAGCCCAAGCTCAAACTAACTGAATTTTAAGGGAGAAATCTCATGCCCAAAGGTTCCCAAAACTGCTCAATGCTATAACCTGTAAACCGGAATGAAAAGTTAACCTCTTCATACTGTGGGCAGCTTTTTCCAAGATGATGGAACATAACTCCCCATCCTAATGACACTTTTGCCCCTCTTTATTCTTCCTTGTTTATGCCTGCCTCTTTCATTTGGCAGGATAATGGTGTAATTGAAATTTCACAATCAGTAGATAGTGTGAGTGACCAAATCCTTTAGTCCACCCAGGGGGTAATACTGGCAACATCCTCAGTAAACGTTTTGTTCAAATTGTACTAATGGTCTTTTTTAAAACAGAGTTAGCTCTCTCTGCTTTAATTCAAGCCAGTCATGGAACGCTAAATAATAGGATTGCTGTGTACCAGCTAAACAAAGAGATGTCTGTGCTTTTGCTCATACTACATGCTGTACCTGGATACATTCCTTTGGAGAATTTACACAAAATAAGAAAATAGGCCACATGGTATAACAGGTCTCACCTAATTCCTCATGATCATTTGATTTATTCAGTTGGTTGCCTTTAAGCCTAGGTTCATGGCTCAAAACTATTATGCTGAGATAGTTACTTTGTATTTTTTTAAAGAACTTTATACCTGTTTCTTGTCAAATTTGCATAGAAATGCAACTCCTAACAGAAAAATGCTCTCCCAGCACTTTGAGATGATAGCCAGTGCCTGTGGAAGAGACAAAATTGAACTTAACAATGGACTCCAGGTATACTTAGCCTGAGATCCACTCCCTCCAAACCTCTTTTGTTGCTCAAATGTGGCTAAAGGATTTTGATGGTAATTCCTAGTTACCAATGACTCCCTTCAACATGGGGGCAGACTGGCACCAAGAGACATCAAAACCTACATACAGGATGATTGATCAGTGATGCTTTTGAGAAAGACCTTGATCAAAAGAGGAAATGTGGAAGTTGTCAAATTGAAAATGGAGTCACTTGTATTAAAACCCTGATAAACAGAGCCAGGAAAGGCCATGAAGGGGAAGGGTTCTCATATACATATGGTTGATAACAAGAACTATCAAAAGACTACCAAAATTTACAACCTGCACAAAGGCCACCACAATCTTAAACACAACACACACATACACACATACTTCTGCAAGGACATCTGCCTAGCAACTGCCTATCTAACTTATGGACCGACACCACCCTTACCACGCTTGTTATTGTTAAAGCAAAGAGTGAGGGTTTTTGTTTTGTTTTGTTTTTTTGAGATGGAGTCTCACTACGTCGCCAGGCTGGAGTGCAGTGGCACAGTCTCGGCTCACCGCAACCTCCGCCTCCTGGGTTCAAGTGATTCTCCTGCCTCAGCCTCCCGAGTAGCTGGGACTACAGGCATGTGCCACCATGCCCAGTTAATTTTTATATTTTTCATAGAGACGGTTTCACCGTTTTGGCCAGGATGGTCTTGATCTCTTGACCTCATGATCCACCCACCTCGGCCTCCCAAAGTGCTGGGATTACAGGCGTAAGCCACCACTCCTGGCCTTCCATTCTACTTTCATAGTTCGCTGTTCTTTCCTTGTGCTCTGTGAAGAGGTGCCTTCCACCATGATTTTAAGTTTCCTGAGGGCTCCCCAGCCATGTGGAACTGAGTCAATTAAACCTTTTTTCTTTATAAATTAGCCAGTCTCAGATATTTACTTGAAGCAATGTGAGAACAGACTAATACCTGTCAAAACACCAAGCCTGAAAAACCCACTAATTGGCTCTCTGCCTTCTCCTGAGCAGCTGAACACTGTTAGAGTAAATCACACAATGCCTCATTATCCCAACTGTGATATGTGCTACAAGTGCACATAACAGGAGGACCTAACCTTGTTTTCAAGTAGGGTCAACGATTTTCCAAATTATTTTTGAACTTTTTTTAAAGGAAACAATGACATTGACAACTGAGAGATGAGCCCTAAAATGAGTAGTGCCAGTCAAGGTACAAAGTATCAGCAGGGTACAGGGTAGGCATTTGATATTTCCCTGCAACTGGAACAATGTAAGTGGATGGAGTAGAGTTAAAAAAAAAAAAAAAAATAGTTTGGGAAACAAGCACATAAGACATGAATCCCTGCTATAAGGGATAGGAGGTATAGGAGGTCAGATTTGGAAATAATGCAGCAACAATAACAACTGATGCTGTAAGAAATATATGTCGCTGTCTGGGAAGGGTCTAGAATTGAAACCTATTTCAAAGTTAATAAGATAGCCTGTTATCTGTTTTATGGCAGTAAACTTAGATTCCTGGGTCAGTGACAAAGAACTTTGTAATTTATGGCAAAAGCAGAAGTCAGAACTTATGTTTATGCCAGTTTTCCATGTCCCCCAAGTCCCACCGGGATGGTGAAGATGGGCCTCCATGGATGTCTGCACATGCAGTCAGTGGGTTACATTATAGGAGAGGAACACTGAGTTTGGGGGATTCACTACTTGTGTAGTTAAGTGGAAGCAAGCCTACTCTTTGGGAAGAATACTTGAGCTATGAAACGGATCATCCCAAACCACCCTGAAAAATGACCTAGGTAAAGAGCAGTTAGGACCTTACGTTCTTGGCAAACCCA